AGCACCACACACTAAACTGTGTCACCCAAGACTTCATCCAACCTGGCCTTGAACACTGCCAAGAATGGGTAACCTGTTCCAATGCCTCACCACCCTCACAGTAAAATGCTTCTTTCTTATACCTAACCTAAACTCCCCCTGTTTAACTTTGAATCTGTTACCCCTTGACATTTACTTAAAGATTTAAAACCTGATAAACTTGTATTTCCTCAGCCCCATACTTTGGCCAAAAAGCGGACAGTGGCTGAATACTTTCCTTTCTCCATATAAAACAACAGTACTGTATCATCTTTTTCCTATCTTTTCCCTTTGTATATTTTTCAGCATCATCCCTAAGAGACTTTCTGGAGGAATGTTATTCCCAGGATGATTCCTCTCATCCCTTCTCTTTTCCTTAGGCCTATAGGCTGTACAAAGATAGTATTCTTTTTAACCACAGAGTGTATCTTTCTTCCAGAGATGATACTGTCTTTAACTACAGAATGTGTCTTTCCTCCAAAAGATGATATTGTCTTTAAGCACAGGGTGTGTCTTTCTAAGTTATGGTATCTCAAACCCTTTTTTTCTTTCCCTTAGTAACTTAACCCCAGCCCCAATATTAAAAATCTTAATATTGCAAAGACTTGATATTGATCTTAAAGCTCTAATATTGTAAAGCCCTAATATTACAAAGCCCCATCCCCAATTATGCAAAAACAATACTGTTTCTCTCACATGCTCCACCCCGGCTCAGGGCAGCACCCCAAAATCCATGGGCTTGTACCCCATGGCTTTCCTGAGGGAGCAGAGAAGGGGTTCTGGTGCTTTGCCCCAGAGGGGAGAAGCAGCGGGATCGGTGCTGCCTTCTTTCCAGCAATGGTGGCAGTGCTGGAAGAGGAACAGTGGGGTAATGAAGGGGGTTTTCCCATGAGGAGAGAAGGAAAGCAGCCAGGTGGTGCTCACCCCTCTGCAGAAGTGAGAGCAAAGCAGTGGGCTTGGGCTGGGAATTGCTTCTGGCATGAAGCTGTGTGCTGCTGCTGCCGTTGCCCTCCCCACCCAGATGCCCATTTACCACCATCTTCAGCAGCAACTGAACATCCTCCTGTGGCTGCTGCACTGCCCATCTTCCCCAGCCCCACTTTCGGGCCACAGGCTCTCCCAGACTGGGGCAGAGCAACTCTTCACCCCAGTGATGGGATGGGTCTCATGTCACCTACCTCTTGCTTTGGTCTGGCAGGAGGACACCTGGCCCTGGAAGTCATCCAGCATGGTGGTGATGCTCTCCTGGCCTACAAGAACATGGTCCAAGGGTACACAATGTCAGTGATGGGGTCTTACCCCCAGGGCCAGGCTCTGAGGACGACAAGCCCCTGACCTGGGTGTCAAACTGCCTACCAGCCCCCCAGAGCTCCCACCTCCCTCCTGGAGGAGCAGGCACAGTTTCTCCAGATCAGTATGGTACAATTTCATGGCTTGCAGCTGGACCACCTGCTTCTTCAGGATATCATAGATGTTGTAAAGAAGCTCGATCTTGATCTCCAGCAAATCCATGGAGCAGTTGGAGTTACTGTTGGACGCTGATAATCCTGAGGAGCTGTCCAGCTGTTGTATCTGGCACATAGCTCTGGGATCACTTCAAAGGGCATCTTGAACTCCAGGCCTGTTGGCAGAGTACCTGCTGCCAGGACGCATGCCTGGGCATGGTGTTTTCTGAGCTGCACCTTTGGGGTGGTGGTTCAGGCTCCAGGGAATCCTGGCTGCATGCCTGGGCTGGTGGCCTGGGTGTCAGGGTCTCCAGCCCCTTTCTGTGGGCTGGTGGCCTCGGTGACAGTGGCTTGAGTCATTCTCCATGGGGTCCTGGCCTGGGTGACAGTGGCTCCAGACTTTCTCCATGGGCTGGTGGCCTGAGTGCCAGGGGATCCGTGCTGTGTCTCTCGGTTGGCCATCTGGGTGCCAGGACCACCACACTGTGTCTCTGGTTCCTTGAGCTTCAGCACTGAGCTTACCCCATGCAGGGTGTCCATGTCTGAAGTGGGGGGCTTGGTGGGGGCAGACTGGCCCTTGCTGCCCTCCAGGGAAGAGGAGGCAAAGGGGAGCAGGTTTATGGACAGAATTGCAGCAGCAAGGGCAGAGCCAGGGCTTCCCTCTTTGTCCCCAGCTGCCCTGGGCTGAGGTCCTACACTGTCCTCTTGGGACACCCTTCCCACTCTTTCCTCACTGGGTGACACCTGGGACCACAGGGTTATGCAGGGTGATTCAGGGAGGGGATTGAAGGCCCCAGGGACACTGGCAGCAGCTCACCAAACCAAACACCTAAATCTTCCAGATTTCCTCTTTCATGCTGCTGATCTCCTCGAGCAGATGCTGGGAGAGAAAAAGGTGGTGGGGGTTGTTCTGCCCGTAGGGTACACCACAAAGTGACCACACACTAGGTGTATAATATGCAGAATTTATTAAAAAAGCACACTAAAGCAAATAAGCACACTAATGTGAATTAGGTAAATATCTCTCATTCACTTATATAGTGAATAAGTATTCTCTTATTCACTTATATAGTGAATAAGTACAATAAAGCAAATCAGAGATATAGGTATATAAGTAAACTATCGAAGAAAGTTAGCAATGTATTAAATCATTAGTGTATAGAGAGAACAGATATTAAGAAGAAATACATCACTAATTACCACTGAATCATAATCCAGGCTCACACTTCCAGCTGGGAAGCTCTGCTGCAGCTGATGTCAGGAGTCTCATGTAATTGGGAAGATTCCTATGCAGTGCATCCATCCATAGGTGAGGTTTCTCTCATGGCCACAAGAGGGTCCTGCTTTTATACCCTTATCAAACAACTGGCTTTATGCCAGATCTCTAATCGGTTACTCATGGGACCATGCAGTTTCTCATGATCTCACTGTTGTCCACTCAGAGAGTGTTGGCCAGTATGAAGTGAGGCCAAGTATGAAGGTCACAGAACAGCTGCAAACGGATGTTTTCCTGTCTCTGACAGTCACAATGAACATAAACATGTATACTCTGCTGGATACACTGTGTCAAACAACATCCTTTGTTACAGTTCTCAGTCATGAGAGGGAATCAACTCCCAGCTAGGTTCCCGCCCATTACAGGAGTGAGCCCCAGGGGAAGGTCCCTGCAGATCAGGACCTTGGTCCCCACCCCTGCCCCAAGGGAGCTGGATCCAGCTGTGCCACTTGGGATACTCAGGAAAAGCACGTGCCTGAGCAGCTCAGTGCTGTGCAGGGTGAGGCCCCTCTCCAGTCCCCATTGCCGGGTTTAGCCGAGGAGCCCCAGCACAGCCTGCAGTAGGCTGTGCAGCAGGCTGTGCAGAGCTCTGAAGTTCACATGTCCAACCTCTGCTGTACTGATGGCAACATCCAGCAGCTGAGACAGGCTGAGTGGTGCCATTGCTGCTGCTATGTCCAACAACAGGAGTCTGACCTGTGGGTAAGAGAGACAGCAGGTAGCCAGCAGCCCGCCTCCCGCTCCACTGGGCATGTGGCGACTCCTTTCCCACTGCCCCTCCTGCCCAGCTGCCGGCCCTTCTGCCCCCCAAAGAAATCTCTCCATGCTGAAGGGTCCCACAGTTTGTTGAGGTGTGCATCAGCAACCCTGGGGACACTGTAAGGAACATATTCTGACCCAATGAAGTGCACAGATCCACTCTGGGGAGCTCCCCTTGAGCGTATTTCCTTTGGGTGAATCCAGAGGAGGCCACCGAGATGCTGTGAGGGCTGGCTGGAGCACTTCTGCTATGGAGACAGGCTGAGAGAGATGAGCTTGTTCAGCCTGGAGAAGAGAAAGTTCCAGGGAGACCTTAGAGCCACCTCCAGTGCCTAAAGGGGCTGCAAGAAACCTGGAGAGGAGCTTCAGAAAAGTGCCTGTAGGGACAGGAGAAGGGGGAATGGTTTTAAACTGACAGAGGGGAGATTGAGATGTTAGAAGGACGTTCTTTACTGTGAGGGTGCTGAGGCACTGGCACAGGTTGCTCAGAGAAGCTGTGGCTGCCCCATCCCTGGCAGTGTTCAAGGCCAGGCTGAACAGGACTTGGAGCAACCTGGACTAGTGAAAAGTGTCCCTGCCCGTGGCAGGGGGTTGGAGCTGGATGAGCTTTAAGGTCCCTTCCAACCCAAACCACTCTGTGGTGATTCTATGTTTCTACTATTTATAAGAGATGACAAACTAAACAGGAAAAATTATGTAAGATATACAATACTGGAGGACAGTAGATTGTAGGAGGAGAAGCCATTATGCACGTTTTCTGTGGAAGCACCTGAGCCACCTACTTTATGCAAACACATAAATGATGAAAAAAGCTAGCCCATACCATATCAGAAACCACAGCCTCGGTCTTCTATTGCATGTTTTCAAAGCTTTTGCAAGCTTCAGAAAGGAAGTTGCCTGCTGTAAGTAGGCTCAGTACTGCAGGTAAGGTTGCCAGTATTATTTTGGTATGTCTTGTATACACTATCTCAGATCTCAATTTGTTCTCTTCTTCTCCTCTGCATAGAGGATTTTTTCCACATTTTTCGTGAAAAAAAAAATAACAGAACACGATGGAAAGCAGCAATATGCAAGTTGCAAGGAAGCCCAAGCAACTTCCCCTGGGACATGAGCGTGCAGCTCAGAATTCTGAAGGACATCGGCTCTTTCCTGTGCTACCGAAAGTCGGCTTCGGCTTTGCCCTCACCAAATTTTGGCTGGAGTTCATATGAATCGAATGAGACAAAGATCGCCTTTTTCATCACCATCTGCAGAAGCTCCTGGCGCAGCCCACCAAGCAGTGCAGGGTGGTGTGGGCTGGGGAGGTGGGTAGGGGCTGTGCCACCCTTCCTCTCAGCACATAAACCCGCGGGTTACCAGTCCCCGTCCACACCACGGGTGACGGCCAGTCCGCAGATGGGGCTCTAACCCTAACCTTCCCCTTCGCCGGGAAAGTTCCCTCGTGTCCCCTTCGGCCCGTGCTTCCCGTCACAGGGACCAGCAGGTCCGCCTTCCGCAACGCCCTCAGTTCTTGCAGTGGCTCCTCCTTTCGTCGCTTGGTTGCGGAGGCGCTCCCGTCCGTCGGGACCGACATGGCGGCGGCGACCGCCTTCACTTCTTCTTCCTCCGCGTTGCGCCCGGGCTTGGCGCCGCTGAGGAGGTGGCGAGCGCTCTCCTGCCCGGCGCCCCTGGCCGCCTACAGCACCAGCAGCTCCCCTCGCCGCGCCGCCAGGTACGCCGCACCGCTCGGGGCATCTTCTTCCTCACGCCTTCCTCTTTTCTTTCTTCCTTCCTTCCTTCTTTCTCCCGGTATGGCGGGGGCGCTCTGGGTAATGGCGGGCTGCACGCGCCGCCGCCGTTTAACGGTCGCGCTGGGAGCTTGCGACGGGTGCCAAGCGCCTGTGGGGAGTTTTGTCTCTTGTGGGCCGCTTCCGGGCCGAGTTGTGTTTTTTCCCGGGAAAACGGGGCTCTGCGGGGTCAGTGCAAGAGGGAAGAGGTAGCTGGAGCGACGGAGGGAAGGAGGAAGGGCTGCGGCACCGGCGTCGTGGTTCCAGCGGCGGGTTAAACGGTGCCCTGTCATGGAGGAGGGCTTGCGGTGTGGTCTCCTGCCTCCTCTTTGATGGGAATCTGGCTGTTAAACGTGTTCGCTCCTGATAGAAAACTGTTTCTGCGCAGTGGGTCTCTACTTCTGTTCTTTGCTGCTTGTAACTGGTTTTTTTGTTTGTTTTTGTTTGTTTGTTTTTTTTTGTTGTTGTTTGTGTTTTGTTGTGGGTTGTTTTTTTTTCCCAGTTCTGTGAAACGTAGATGTTCCTGTAATGATTTTACAAAGGTTTTCATGTCATACGTACAGTACTGAGAGCATCCCATTGTGATGCCCCCTATGATGTTGGGCTGTTAAGTGTATAAGATGGTCTAAAACAGCAGCTGAGGTCTTTGTTTCTGTAATATCTTGCAAGTTGCTGGATGCACGGATGAAAAAGGTTCAGTACCAAAATTGTTCTGTTATAAACACAGGGTTCAAAATAATATCATCCATATGCAGGAGGTTGCTGGAATTGAAAGGTGAGCTGAATTCAGGCATATTTAGTCTAGCAGGTGTGTAAGCGTATGCTGCCCTGATAAACTCTCAGGATCTTAAGTATTACATAGGGAGAAATGCATAAAGCTTTAATACTTGTTAAGTAAATCCAGAGATTTGAAAAATGTGGTTATGAATAGATTGTGACCTTGTAGCAGACAGTGGGTTCTTGATGACGTTATATAAAAAGTTGAATTAGTGCAACTGTTCTCTTACTTTGGGGAAGTAATTTCTGGAGTCAAGAAGGATAGAGAATAATCTTGAAAGGAGTAAGAGAAACGTTTTGGAATGGTAAATGACAACACATTACCACCTTGTTTGTTTCCTTTTTGGTATTGGTATCTAACCCCAGAATGGTTTCTGCTTTTTAGCCACTGGTATTTAAACAAGTTTCTTTGAGTAGCTTGGTAAGCAGTAGGGGGAAGCCTGTCTCTGGAGTTATTTTTAAGAAATGGATGATGCCCTTGGCAGTTTGTTTGTTCTCCTAGAATTATGTTTTTTTCCCCCATCTTAAATGTTAGCGGAGGAAAGAAGTTGTTTCAGAACAACTTCTTATGCTGTTAGGATAATATTTAAAATCCACAATGTTCTACCATCCATGTGTCTAAAAAGTTTAAACAAGTGTCTGTGACTAAATACGGTATCTACTGGCTGTTATATAATTTCCCCATGTGTTGAATTGTTAAGCATTTCTCATGTTTGAGTGTGCTGATAAACAACAATGCATCATAGTAATATAACAAAACTTTAATCAGATGTTGGTTTACTCTGGTTAAGTACTTTATTCTAGTAGAGACAAAGTGCACATTTTGTTTTAGACTGTCTCAGAAAGCATGGTGGGGGTTTTTTTCCTCAGTTTTGTTCTAGGTATAGACTTGCTTGTCCCCCAAAATATGATATAGAAAAAACACAACTGATCAGACTGACAGGACTGTGAAAACCAATCCAATTTGAACACAAAGCCAGAATGCTTTATTATTGGGTTTACTAATGACTTGGAACTACTTTCATCATGACAAGCTAATTCAACATTTATTAAACATCTGTTTAATCTGTTAAATTTGTTTGTGCACGAATATACATTAAAGTTTCAAGTATATATTTCCAGAGAGTGTTAAAATGTTTTAGTTTTGGGTGTAGTCAGGCAGGTAGTCAGGAGGTAGTCAGGCAAAGAAAAAGATTATTGCTGAAGGATGTCAAGCTGTTATTTTCTAAATACCTAATGAAACATTTTGCTAATAGAATCATAGAATCGTTAGGGTTGGAAAGGACCTTAAGATCATCTAGTTCCAATCCCCCTGCCCTGGGCAGGGACACCTTACACTAAATCATATCACCCAAGGCCTCGTCCAACCTGGTCTTGAGGAGTGCCAGGGATGGAGCATTCACAACCTCCCTGGGCAACCCATTCCAGTGCCTCACCACCCTTACAGGAAAGAATTTCCTCCTTGTATCCAATCTAAACTTCCCTGTTTAAGTTTTAACCCGTTACCCCTTGTTCTGTCACTACAGTCCCTAATGAAGAGTCCCTCCCCAGCATCCCTGTAGACCCCCTTCAGATACTGGAAGGCTGCTATGAAGTCTCCACGCAGCCTTCTCTTCTCCAGGCTGAACAGCCCCAACTTCTTCAGCCTGTCTTCATATGGGAGGTGCTCCAGCCCCTGATCATCCTCATGGCCCTTCTCTGGACTTGTTCCAACAGTTCCATGTCCTTTTTATGTTGAGGACACCAGAATTGCACACAATACTCCAAGTGAGGTCTCACAAGAGCAGAGTAGAGGGGCAGGATCACCTCCTTTGACCTGCTGGTCACACTCCTTTTGATGCAGCCCAGGATACAGTTGGCTTTCTGGGCTGCAAGTGCACACTGCCGGCCCATGTTCATTTTCTCATCAACCAACACCCCCAAGTCCTTCTCCACAGGGCTGCTGTGAATCTCTTCTCTGCCCAACCTGTAGCTGTGCCTGGGATTGCTCTGACCCAGGTGTAGGACCTTGCACTTGGCATGGTTAAACTTCATGAGGTTGGCATCAGCCCACCTCACAAGTGTGTTAAGGTCTCTCTGGATGCCATTCCTTCCCTCCAGGGTATCAACCGAACCACACAGCTTGGTGTCATCGGCAAACTTGCTGAGAGCACACTCAATCCCACTGTCCATGTCAGCAACAAAGATGTTAAACAAGACCAGTCCCAACACCGATCCCTGAGGGACACCACTCGTTACTGGTCTCCAGGTGGACATTGAGCCATTGACCACAACTCTTTGCGTGCGGCCATCCAGCCAGTTCTTTATCCACCGAGTGGTCCATCCATCAAATTGATGTCACTCCAATTTAGAGACAAGGATCTCGTGTGGGACAGTGTCGAACGCTTTGCACAAGTCCAGGTTGATGACATCAACTGCTCTACCCTTGTCCATCAGTTCTGTAGCCCCATCATAGAAGGCCACCAAATTGGTCAGGCCGGATTTCCCCTTAGTGAAGCCATGCTGGGTGTCACCAAGCACCTTGTTGATTTTCATGTGCCTTAGCATGCCTTCCAGGAGAATCTGCTCCAAGATTTTGCCAGGCACAGAGGTGAGACTGACTGCTCTGTAATTCCCCAGGTCATCCATTTTCCTCTTCTTGAAAATGGGGGTTATATTTCCCTTTTTCCAGTTGTCGGGAACTTCACCTGACTGCCATGATTTCTCAAATATGATGGCCAGTGGCTTCGCAACTTCATTTGCCAGCTCCTTCAGGACCCACGGATGGATCTCATCAGGACCCATGGACTTGTGCCCGTTCAGATCTTTAAGATGGTCTCGAACCAGTTCCTCTCCTACAGTGGTCGCAAGGTCTTCGTTGTCACAGTCCCTGCATCTGCCTTCCAAGACTTGGGTGGTGTGGTCAGAGCCTTTGCCAGTGAAGACCGAGGCAAAGAAGTCATTCAGAACCTCAGCCTTCTCCAAATCCTGTGTAGCCAGTTCTCCCGAGAGCTTCCTGAGAGGGCCTACGTTCTCCCTAGTCTGTTTTTTATTTGCTACATACCTGTAGAATCCCTTCCTGTTATCTTTAATACCTCTAGCTAAGTTTAATTCTTAATCTACTAGAGCTTTTCCTTTTTTTTTTTTTATCTTCTTCCCAGGAAGGGTTTTTATTGGAACTAAACCCACACTTCTGTTATACAACAGGCTATGCATGTTTCCATGGTATACTGAGTTTGTACCCTTGTCTTAAAAATCGGGACAAAATTGTGAATCCACTGGAATGATCAAGAGAGGTAATGAATACTGCTGTATTCCTAGGAAATAGTGGTAAAATACCGTCACACATTTTGCTTATTTTATCTGTCAAGGAAAATTCAAGCAGCAAAAGTCAAAATAGTCAAACACTTGGTGTAAGAGTCAAGTAAATAATTATGGTGATTACATTCAATTTATTAAAATCTTTCAGGAAGAACAGTGTGTCTTGCTGTAGTGATGATAATATGAGATAAATTCTCAAGACTGAAATAATTAATGGTAGGAGTATTATTTTTTTCAGAATATCCTTAACTTGAAACATTTCTGATTTTGGGCAAGTTTTTGCCCTGAGGTTTTTGCTAAAGCCTGTAGAACTTGCTGTTGTCTTCAGAAAGATGCAGATGTTGACGATCCCATTGTAGCACTTTCTGGATAGGGTGTAATATGTATGTTCTGTCCAAGCTTAGAATGTGTGTGTGTGGCAGTGTGCTTTTGGCACTGTTTTTTGTTTGTTTGATTTGGTTTTGGTCCTTGGATGACTGAGAGGGTTGAACATGACAGGGTGAGAACAGTCAGTTTTGAGGACAGATCTTGGAAATTTAACAAGTCTGTGTCTAGTTTTTTAAGGAAGAGGCATGCACTTAAAGGTTATTTGCTTAAAGATTAGGAAGACTTCTCCTTTGGCGACACATTTAGAGTAAAAGTAGCATATAAATGCAAAACATGTTCATGTGGATTTAGACTATCTTTTGTAACCCAAATATTGTGAACTCCTTGTATTCTTAAATATGTATGGCATTTCTACATAGGCAAGCATTAGTTATTTATTTGGCATAATGAGTACATGGAAAGAAGTGTCTGATGCCAAAGGCACATATAGGTGAAACGTAAATAATGAAGATGAGAGACATCTATGAAAATGAGTGCATACAGAGCAGGTCATATAGGAAAAGAATAAAACCACATCTGTTGGCTTAATTATTTTATAGATATATATGTACTTAAGTTAAACACTACAGAAACTTGTGTTTGGGAAGTAGCTGTGGATGGTGTAAAATTGAAGGAAGCAAGGTATTCATGGCTTTTTGTGTGCTAAGTGTGTTTGCAATACTTCGCTTTCCTCACAGTGGGGGAAATTGTTATCAGCAAATGTGTTAATTTCTATTTCTCTCCTTTTTTTTTTTTTAACATAAATTCTAGGTACTTTGGGTTGTTTTTTTTTATTTTGGTTTGTTTGGTTTTTTGTTTAAATTATCATGGCACCTTGTTGGTGTCATTATAAAACTCACCTGGAGTCTGTGCCGCACTATGTCAGTTACAAGTGGTAGTCATGTTGAATTAATTTATTCAATTCACAGGGGTTCAACCTGTGAATGTATGCATACATCTAAAGTTCTTCCTCTCAAAGAAGGAAGTGAAGGATGTTTGCGGCAGGGAAACTGTCTCCTGTTCAGGCTTACTTTGTAGTAATGAGTTGATGGTCTCTGATTAGTAGCTGATGAGCCAGGAAGGTATGGTTTTCTTACAGTGCCTCACAGCTCTGCTCAATAGGAGTTAACTTGTCCACTAGTAACTTCAACTTTGCTTCAGTGTGGTAGCTCTGCTTCTGTGGAGTTTGTTATTTTACTGTGTTTTTACAGATAGAATAGTATTTACTTGTTACTCTTATCAGATGATTGTACCAAGAAACATGTATGTATCATGTTTGGATTCTTGATGTTTCTGTGAAGAGAGGTTCAGTTAGTGTAGGTGCAAGCTTGAATTGTTGTGGTATATGTCCTGTAGACATGTACAAGGTGAGGAGTGGCTGTGCTTGCTTACAGTGGGCAGACAGGCAGGAAGGTGGAGAAGACTTTGGCGACCAGGAGAAGAACCAAGGTAAGATAAAGCTGACACTTGGAAGATCTGAACAAAATAATACTTGAGGAAGTCCTGTTCAGTCAAGATGTACTTGATCTTTAAGCAGTTACCTGGTGAGGGCAGCATGGGAAGTTGATAAAAGACATTTAGAGCTTTAATAAAGGGTATCTCTTAATATTATTGTCACCAAAGAGTCATTCAGGGGTGAGGGTGGAGCTTGTAAGATTGAGTAGGGAATTCAACTTCCATTCTGTTCTGGGGTGCCTTTGGAGCACTGTTAAGGTTTACCTCTCTTGTGGTTTAAGCCCAGCCAGCAATTCAGAACCATGCAGCTGCTTGCTTACTCCTTACCTTCTTTCCTGCCCCCACTCCCATAGGGATGTGGAAGCGAATCGAAAGAATGTAACTCCCACGGATTGAGATAAGAACAGTCCAGTAAATAAGGTATAGCACAAAGCCACTGCTGCTACTGCCAATAATAATAATGATAAGGGAAATAACAAGAAGAGAGAATACAGTTGCTCACCACCTGCCAACAGATACCCAGCCCGACCCGAGCAGCGATCTGGGCCTTCCAGGTGACTCCCCCCAGTTTATATACTGGGGGCATGGCATGCTGTGGTATGGAATACCCCTTTGGCTAGTTTGGGTCAGGTGTCCTGTCTCTGCTTCCTCCCAGCTTCCCCTTCTCCCTGGCAGAGCTGAGGATGAGAAAGTCCTTGGTCAGAGTAAACATTACTTAGTAAGAACTAAAAACATTGGTGTTATCAGCATTGTTCCCAGGCTGAAAGTCAGAAACACAGCACTGCATCAGCTACTAAAGAGAAAAGTGACTGCTACTGCTGAACCAGGACAACCTCAGATGCCATTGGAAGTAAATTTTATTTTAAAATACATTTTGGGGTTGTCATGTTACTGCTTATAAGTTGTTAATTTATTTAAAGGGATTAAGCAGTAGCGGAAGTTAGCAAGATACTACTTTTTCCAATCCAGAGAAAATTACTTGTGGGTATCTTGCTCTTTCCTATGTAGCAGAGTCCTCCAAGAACCATTCCTAAATAACATAAAATGTAGGCTGGCTTTCTCTGTCTCTCAGTCAGATAGAGGCTGAGTTTGGATGACTTCTTTCTATAAGGCAATAGAAAGTCTGTGATTTTGGGTGGTCTTGTGGTTGCCAGGTCCTGTGTGGGCTCATTGTTGCTGCTGCTGTTCCCTCTCTACCTTTCTCCTTCCACACTTGTGCATTTAGCTTCTTTGATCATGAAAATTTACTAGGGATGATTGAAACAGCAGAAATTTCTGAAAGAAGTTAGCTGCAGCTTACTCCTTTTGGCTACTTGAAGTTGTGGGGTTTGGATCTTGCAGAATGCAACATTTTAAAGCAGATCAGTGGTACAATTTCTTGCTCTTGCCATTTCTTCCTGCTTTCTCCCCTCTAAGCACCACCACCACCAAGCAATAAAGCTAGTTTTTAAAGGCTGCTTATCTGTTACAAAATAAATGAACATTTAGCGTCTGAAAGTTATATATGCTGGAGGTTTCTTGTTTGCTGTGGGTTGGTGAGGTGTGTGAGGGGGTCCACATCCTTGGCTGGGGTGATGATCACGCCATGATAGAGGGAGAGAGGGGGACTAAGTAGTACCAGGCCAGGTTGAAGGCACAATACTTTCATTCTTCCTCTGCTTTTCTGCATGGGTAGGGCAATGGTTGTGGGCCTTTCACCTAAGGACATTTATCTGCTGTAGTGCTGGCTGAGGGGCCAAGAGTGGTTACAGGAATTTAACTGCATATTTGATGGTAGATTGCACACTTAATTGTCTTGTTTATGAAATCTTAGAGCTAAATGTTGTATATGTTTTCATCTTTCTAGTGATGAAGCAACCATTATCTCAGGGACAAGGCTCGCTCAACAAGTCTTGAAAGAAGTTCAAAGGGATGTAGAATTGTGGATATCCTTTGGAAACAAGAGACCTCATCTCACTGTCATATTAGTAGGAGACAATCCGGCCAGTCATATCTATGTCAGAAACAAGATAAGAGCAGCTACAGCAGTAGGTATGTGTTATGTGATATAAATGATCCTGGTAAGCATAAGATGCTGTTAGTTAACAGTAAGAGAAAGTGGGGGGAGGAGCACTCTTTGTATCTCAGTTTAATTTTGTGCTGGTTTTCTCCTCTTCTTCCCTGATGAACTTGAAGAAAAAGGAGTTAAAGTAATTTTAATGGCCCATTAATGGTAGCTTAAATTCAATTCTGTATTTAGGAACATTAGGGAGCAGTTTGCACCTTTACTGCTGGAAACTGGAAACTGAAGAAGAACACTAGGGTTGGGTTTTTTTTTTGATAGTTCAGTGTCTTAACTGGGGCTTGGTGAATGAAGATAAATAGAGTGGAATTATGTTAGGTTTTAATTCTTTCTTCATGACAGTTTTTTTGCGTTTTTTTTCTAAATATGAAATACTTGCTTAAGAGCTTGAAGTGCCTGTTAGATTCCTTCTTTTTTGTATGTGCATTTTTCAGCCTAACTCCACTGTGGTAGCAGTCCATCCTACCCTAGAATTGTTGGGAACAGTGATTAAATAGATATTGAGAATAGCCTTTTTCTTCTCAATGTCACTAAATTCTTCATAATATCAGTCTTCATGTGCATCTGCTGTATCTCATGGAATTTCTGTCCCTTGGAATGCTCTAAGTTCACAGTCGAGCCAGGCAAACCAATACAAAAGCAAGGCTGTGCAGCTCTGAATAAGGAGGGCAAAATTTCAGCTATAATGAAAGCAAACAGTGAAGTGACTGATAACACCTCATCTTCAGATGAAAGTGTAATAGCCTAAATGGGAAATATGAGTGTAGTCGCTCTCAGCGAAATGGCAGTCTTTTGAAGTAACTTGAAAAACTTTATTTTCTAATACTGAGTTTTGTGGTAGAAAAGCTGTCAGATAACATGCCAGTAATGCTAGTGGTAGCTTTATCTGTTCAGTTGTAGTTGTAATTGTCAAAAGCATGTTTGTAGAAAAGTTAGATTGTTCATTTTCCAAATACTTTGAAGCTATTGTTTAGTTTTGGAGCTGCTGGGTCCAACTGTAGGGTGTTGGTGGTCATATATTTCTGTATGTTTTGTTGTAAGATGATACTTGACATCCAGAAATACAGCATTAAAGACCAGAAAATGAAAACAGACTTTCTAGTAAGTCATCTGTGTTTATTTAAGACAGTTGTTAAGTATCACACACATTTTCACACAAAATGAGTAAGCTGTTTGTAGATAAATTTCCTGGTACTAACATGTCTTCTGCTTTTGTTTTATATCAGGCATTTCTAGTGAGATCATACTGAGGCCTAAAGACATATCGCAGGAAGAACTCTTAGATATGACTGTAAAACTCAACAAGAATTCAAGAGTTAGTGCTTTGTTAGTTCAGTTACCTCTCCCAGGTAGGTGACATCTTTTGCCCCACTCCTTCTATACAGTCAATGTCAAATGAAAGAGTTTGACAGTTTTGAGTTACAAGACTATCTTGGTGACAGAAAAAACTCTTGAGAAAGGACATGCCTAGTGATTAGTTGAGATGTTTTTGTTGTATACTAGCCTGTACTTAATTTTAAACAGAAAAGCTAATTAATTCATGAGAATCACTTCGTATTTTCAACCTTGCCTTTTTTGTAAGTTCAGTCAAATGCTGTGTCAAGGAATTTCCCTCCACAGACACACTTTACTCAGTTTAGTTTTATATATATATATATATATATGTATTTATATTTTTTGTCATGTTGCACTGTTTAGCCCTGAACTCCAAGACCTTTGCTGTATTTTCCTCCCCTATGTCATGCCAAGTTGTACTGTCTTGCAGTGATTCCAGGTCTTGCCTTAGATATTTGATCATGCTTTCTATGCTATTCCTAATGTTCCTAGTGAGCTTTGTGCTAAGGTCCTAAAAGCTTCTACTGTCCTCTTGGTTTTTATTTCACTTCTCCTAATTTGCAATAAAATCTCTCTAAAATACACTTGCCAGTAGCTGTCAAAATGGGATTTTGGCAGTGATAAAACTTTTCATCTAAATCTACGTAAGTCAAACTGGTAAAACCATCGCATGCTTCCTGATGGAGAGGAACCCAAATTACTGGAGTCATGTTAATAAATAGACTGGCATGTTGGGTTGCCCCATCTCTGTGTTTCTAAGTGTTGTCTTTGATTGTATGTTTATGCCGTGTTCTGTGAGAGGCAGGAGCTGCCTTTTTGGCATGATTTCTAGCAGTAGCTGGGGCTCCAGGGGCTGCTGTTTTTACGTATCTCTTATAATAATGAGGCTGAAATGTTGTTTTGAGGTGAGCTTTTCATTTCCACTCTTACTCCTAGTACTGGTCTTCACCTTCAGGGAATTCTCGCTGCCTTTATTTCGTGTAAGCAGAAATGGGGTCAGGTGCTGAGTGTTGAAGAGATGCTTGCTTTGTATTTGTAATAAACACCAGTGTTTGTGGTTAGGAAGTTTGGCGTTTCCTATTACGCTAAAGCGAACTGAAATCGGCCACTTGTTGAAGTAAGTTGACCACAAGGTGGGAGTATAACACAGATAAGGAGACCTTGGAATCTTCCCCACCAAGAGAGGAACTCTGGGAGCCAATGGAATGTGATCGGTTTACTTGGAACAAACATCTTTCCCACTAAGAACAGATTAGGGGAAATAGGAAATGGAAGAATTTTCATTTCAGTAGTAAGAACTCATGCCAAAGATGGAGCATTGCCAGCCTGTAGATGGAAATCCTTCTGTCTGAAGGACAGAGAAAGAAATGGGCTCATCCAGTCTTAAACTGCCTGCCCTTGTTGGTATGTGGTTCAGAAACAGACTTAAGTCTCGAAACTGTGAATTTAAACCTGAATTTTAACACTGAAAAGAAAAAAAAAACCCACACCACAAACCCTGAGGATAATTCTAGTTGTGTAATTCAAATGTCTGATGCTAGTCCATTGTTTAAGCCCTGAAGTAAGTGGTTGAGTATCCCTTGCAAGAACATTATGTCTGTCCTGGTAACTACATAAAGACTAGTTAGCCTTCCTCAAACCTATGAAACTTGCTGGTTTGGGGCTTGGCTGTTACCTGCCTTAATAAAAATCTTAGAGTAATTTAATCAATAGCAGGACTTCTTCAGCATTGTCTTTAGAGGAAACTTAAATATGCAAGTTATCATGAATAGCAAATGTTCAGGAGGGTCTTTCCAGAATAGATGTCAGCTATAGCTCTTATTGTTAGATTTTTTATTAATTTTTTTTTTCACTCCCAAAGGAGCTTCGTAAGCAAAAGGGCAGAAAGCTAACTTAGCTCATTTTCCAAAATTCTTCTTATTTGCCTTGTAATGGAAGGAGACAAAGCCTTCAAGTTGTGATAACTTGATCAGTAGGGGCTGCTTATTCCAGAATTGAGGTGGTTGTGTGGGGTTTGGGGTTTTTGCAGTAAACCACACACAGGTGTGGCTTTCGATCAACATGGGGATAAAAATACAAGCAGAAAAAAGCCTTGTTCTCTTCCACTGTTGTGAGCTGGAGCAACTTAACTTTGAGGATTGTCATCTTTGCCTGAGGAAAACTTCCTTTCTGTGCACCTTCAGAGTGTGTTACTTCTGATGTGGTAATGGTTTTGTGGAGGGTTTCCTGTATCTTTTTTAGCTGCCTGGAAGATGGCTATGGAATGTTAGATATTTATTTGAGATTGAAGATGGAAAACTCAATTTTTTAGTTATAAGCGGCAAGTATGAGGCAGGGGACCGTATGTCCATCTGCTGTGCAGGACTGCCAGCTGAAGCGTGGCTGATTTAGTGGAACTGGCTGCTAAAGTCATAGCAGTGTCACAGTAGAGCTGCTCAAAATTATTTCTAGGGAGCTTGTTGCTCCTGCTGAGCAGCTTTCTCCTTGCTTTGATCCACATGGTAAGTTTTCAGATCCTTTTTGTGCTAGGTTTTTATTTTCATCAGCTTCCCATTCCAGAACTAGTCTTTATTTTTTGAATGTCAACAGTAGAGACACATTTTGTTTGCTGTGTAAGAGTTTCTCTATGTGCATGTCAGAGGATCCGGGCAAGAGATGCTTGGTGTAGTCTTGTAAGTTTGGTTAAAAGGAGAAGGGTGAGTGCAGATAGGAACTTGGCATGCAGAATAGCTCAGAATGACAGTAAAAGAGTTTGACTGTCAGTTGAGAGGAGACTAAGCATGTTCTGTGAGACTGACAGCAACATCCATCAGAAATAGTCTTGTTCCTCTGGGAATAAATGAGGCTACCTGCAGTCAGGTGGGAACAAATCAGGAAAATAAATTTCTTGAGGCAAATAAAATGTAGTCATTGAATAACATAGTAACTGTCTATACAGTTGGTATTGAATTGGTTTCCTTGTTTATGGATGGCTTGCTCCACATGGTGTTGTAGAAGTGTCTGTTTTGAGGAGGGAAAGATGCCCATATCTTCTTTTCTCCCTGTAAAGTATGATTTCTTTCCCTTACACATAAATGTATCTGTGATCTGTCTCTATCTGAGAAGCTGAAGACAGCAGTCAGGAGGTATTTGTAAGAGCAGTGAAGTTTCAGTTTGATGAACAACTGACTTCCCTAAGGTTAACAAATTTTCTGTTGCAAAAGCTGTTTAATAGATTACTCAAAATTTCTTATTTATTTATTTATTTCCCAAGTTGACGTAAAAACAAGACTATGGTTGCCCTCAGTGTGAATGAGGCTAGTCTGACCTGTAGGGCTCTTTCATCCATGTACTTAGCATCTCAATTTCCTCAGATCCTTCTTATTAGGAATCAGAACAAATCTTCCTTAAACTGAAAAATGGCGTGTATCTTAACAGTCTGGTTTAAATCTAGGGTTTGCTTTCTGGGTCATTTATGAGTATGGTTTATAGAGCTGCTCCTCTGGAGTGTCTATGTATGTATGGGGTTTGTAACTTTGCAGAAGTAGGACTTGGTAATGCTTTTTTTTTTTTTTCTTTATCAGTTTGTGTGTTTATGCAGTGTAAACTTTAAGCATCTGCAGACCTATTCCATATCAATAGCACATGATAAATGCACATGAAAAATGTTCATTGCAACTACATGAGTAATAAATTATGTGCAGGTATAGTCATTTAAGCTAAGTGTAGTGTTTTGGACTCATCGGTATCAAACAACTTTGTTTTCTAACAGCTCTCTGGAAAAGTAGAATACATTTTGGTTTTGCTGATTAGAAGATTACTACTTACATTTTTCAAAAAGGGGAAATGAAAGGCAGACCTGCAAAGTTATTTCAGCTTAGGTTATCTTTGGTGATCTTAGAGACGGGTAATAGGCACAGTAACTTTTCTCTTTAGATTATTTCTTTTGAGCCACTTGACAAGTAACACTTTCAGAATGCAGGAGCAACTCTGAAGTGTCTTGCTTGAACGTGTATTTTCATAGTTACAAAGTCATCATTCTCAGTTGAGTATCAGCCTCTCATATTTTGACTGAATCTGTTGTCAAAACAGTGTCAAACTGAAGCATTTCATTTTCAGTAGATGACTTGAAAAGGTGAATTTGTAACTGCTGCCTTTAAGAGGGGGGAGTATAGTGTATTCATAATGAATAGTAATAATAATTACCTAGCTAGAAACAACTTGTGTTTCTCAGTGTAATGATTCAGGTAGTATTGGCATCACCTGACAAGTGAAAGAATTGTAATGTGAAAAATTGTATTTCCTAGATCACATCGAGGAGAGAGCTGTTTGTAATGCTATTGCTCCTGAAAAGGATGTGGATGGATTTCACATTATGAACATTGGACGCCTGTGTCTTGACCAGCCTTCTATAATACCTGCCACTGCTGCTGCCGTTTGGGAGATCATCAAACGGACAGGTAAGGAAATGAACGGTATTGAAACTCTTTTTATCTTGGAAGGATTGAATCAGGTGTGAGTTACAAGGTGCAGTTAGTCTAAAGATACTGGGCCGATGGAAGAACAAAAATTTAGAGCATTAATCTAAATAATGAGGTGCCAAATAGATGAGATTTTTTTTTGCCAGTAGCATAACTATTAGTTATGTATAGGCAGTAGTCTGCCTAGAATACTTGGTGAAACACTTCAAATTACTTTCTGTATTCTATAATCATAGAATCAACCAGATTGGAAAAGACCTTTAAGATCATTAAATCCAACCATTGCCCCAGCACTGCCAAGTCTCCCACTAAACCATGTCACTGAGGGCCTCAAACTTTCCATGCTGATCTGATGGACCAACCCTTCCCATCCTCTGTCAGGACCCATGTAACATCCCTTCAGATGCCTTTTTAACCTCACTCAGCATCAAAAGAGCCAGCAGATGTTGTAAGGAACTTTTTGTGCTATTGCTGATGTCCTGATTTGAATGTGTAAGTTCTTCTTAGGGGAAGGACCAACAGCAAAAGTTGGAGCATTTAATTCAGTATTAGGGAAAAATATGCCTGTGGATTTAATGGTTATCATTTCATAAGTATAATATACATGTTCTTATTGGTGGATGTAAGAGTTTCCATTGCCCTTTGTGGTCAGAGAAGAGAAATGAGGTCACTCCAAAGGGTGATTCAGATAGCTGGCGACTCAATCAGGTTCTGTTTCTCTAAGGTGAAAGTTGAAAGTTGTTTTGCGGATTCCTCCCTCAAATTCAGCCTTGGAGATTTTCAAGTTGTGTAGTTGTCAGCAGTCAACAAGAGCACGTAACGTTATCTTGGTGACTAAGAATGAAGGGTTTAGGTGTATCAAAATAGCAGAATATAATTTTTTTTTTTTTTTCCTATAAGGAATACAGACATTTGGGAAAAATGTTGTAGTAGCGGGAAGATCTAAGAATGTTGGAATGCCTATTTCAATGCTTTTACATACTGATGGAGAGCACGAAAGGCCTGGAGGTAAGTCCGTGAGTGTTGTTTAAAAGCTTCCATTCATGAAATTATGAAAATCAAGCTGACCAGAGGATTTGGACAAAAAGTGGAAGCTTTTGTATCTTGTGCAATATTTACAACTACAGCAAGAAAGCGAATTTGCTAATTTATTATGTATTTCCTGACATCTTCTCAGAAGAGCAGTTTCTGGACTCGACTTTTTCTGGTATTACATCATTGTTTTGTGCTCCATGGGAAACAGCTACTGTTTAAACATGGTTAGTGTTGAACATTGAGGGTAATACCTGGCAGCATGGCCTTATTGAGCTGCAGAGGTTCATGTGATATTTATACACAGTAATACAGCTGCATGCCTTATCCTTGGGTTTAGTAATATTAATTTCAAGGTTTTCATATGCAAGTTGTCACACGCATGTGTATATACACACATACATAGATGAATATGACACAATTCCTGTATTGTGCTATGTTTGTTAGGTGGTGATTATGAAAATACCCAAATGACAAACACTTTTCTGTGTGAGCTCTATGATACTACACATTGACGTGGGGGATTTTTCTGTAGTGCACTATATCCCTCTGGAAATTGGGGTTGTAAGGGAAATATTTTTAAGTAATTCTAATTGGAGAAGCATGCATGTGCCACTATAATTGTGCTGCAGAAAGAAAAACAAATAGAATTTAAATAAAATAGTGTTCTCTTGCAATTTCATTTTGATGTTGGAAACTGCCATGGTGGTGTGCACAAATGAGGTAAAAACGAATGATTAATCCCAGCAATGTTTAATAGGAGTGCAGTGAAATCTGTTATTAATATAATAAAACACAAAAAGCTTCTCACTAATCATAGAGTTGGCTTTTCCATTCAGGCTCTGTGGGAAAGTTGCTGTTTGAAACTTCTCTTAGTGTTTGAATTGTAATTACCGTCAGTGCATACTTCTGGTCTCATCCCCATTCCCATGAAAATGAGTAGCATTTTTGCCATTTGATGCTAATATTGCCTTGTGTATATTACTGGCAGTGTGGGTTGATGTTTGAATGAAGCTTTATACAATATTATGTTATGTTAGTTATGTTGCCAACTACTTGCATGTTTCTCAGCTGGAGATGGGGAGCCCTAGTGACCTGTGATTCCTTAGCAGTTTGTTACAAAATCCATAGTAGTTGCATGGGTGGGTTTTAGCTGTAACTAAATACTGGTTTATAGCTTTCAGCTTTTGAGGTAGTTGGATCTGTGGCTCAGTTTTATTCACTTGTATCCTGGTTTGTAGTTCTTGTTTGACTGCCTACTAGTAGTACAATTTGGTTTGGAGGGCTAGTCCATGAATTAACTTTGTCAAGTATTCTGTGCAGGGACAGGAAAACGTTTGGATATTCCCTTACTGGCACTGGAAGCTAAGTGTACAGTTAACTTACTGAAGTTATCTTTGCTTATTCTGAAGACATGAATTTATTTTTAGGGTGGTTTGTTGGTTTTTTTTCCAGCTTGCCGAGTATTAGTACACAGCATAAATCAGCTGTCATTGAGAAAACAAAGGAATTTTTATTCTTAGTTCCCAGTAAATTAGCATTAAGTATGTATTTGTGGTGATAAACTTTTGTGGTTGGTGTATAGTCTTCACTCCTGATTCACAGATTGGGCTGTCCTTGAAAATCTGGTTAGTGTTCTGCACTTATCTTCTTTGCTATTTTGTTTTATTATTATTTTGTTTATTTTCTTTCTCTTTGTAGGTTTTAGTTGTGGTTATTTTTACAGATTATGAACAAAACTGAGAAGCTGGGGTCTGTCTTCATGAGTGATTTGTTGTGTGTAGAAACCATCATATCCTGCAGATGGCGATACCTGGTTAGATGAGAAAGCAATCTGAACCTTTACAAAGCAAACGGTGTTTGGTGGGGGCAGGTCGAGGGGCTCTCTCTATTTTATAAGCTGGTGACTTAACTCAGCAGTATCATGCAGAATCTTAATGGCTAAATGTATTTGTCTTCTTACAGTGGAAATAGCTGTATGAAGTAGTTGTTTATTTTCTGTTTTGGCATGAGCACAAGTAAATGGATAACCTACCCTTTCTGAGGTGTCTGTAAGCTTCTGGACTGCTATTCTGAAGGTAGGGGCTTCCCCCCTTGGTTTTTGGATTTGGGGTGGTTTTTTTTGTTGGTTTTTTTTTTTTAATCTCATTTCCTTTTTGGTAATGAGAGCAGTTACTTGGTTTCAGGAGCTACCTACCTGCACATTCCTCACTAAAATCTTGATGAGGAGAATACCGCTGACTTTCTCAAAGATGTGACTGTTTGTAACTTCGGATTTTATCCATTAGTTTTTCTCAGCCTTTCTGCTGAGTACAGGGTAAGAGGTCAAAAGAATCCCATTATGTGTATATTTTTTAGAAGTAACAATTTGTGATTTTGTGTTCATGCACATCTGTACTTTTTTGTTCTCATGATTTGAAAATGCCTTTATCTGCTTCTCTTCAATGAAAAGGTATACATTACAGAGACTGGAGGAGAAGAGGGATCAAAGATGAGGGGGAAGAGCAGAAAAGTCAGAGTGCAGACAGGTTGAAGATGAGATGCTTGAGGAGAAGAGTTAATGAGATAAGAGGCACAGATTAAAGCAGTCAGACACATTCCAGAGGAAGCAGATCTGGTGGCAACACCTGAGATAGTGAAAACTTTTAGCTTAATGGTTCATCATGTGTCTTAGTAGTCAATGATGAGTGGAAGGTGGAGAAGAGGGGATGTAATACCTGAACACTGAGCAGTACAAATAATTGACAGGGAGAGTGTTGGGAGGAGTCTGATAGCTGTTATCTTTGCTGTTTTCTTGGGCATTCCTGAGGGGATCACGAGTGGTGGCTGTAGGATGCAGTGAGTCTTCAGTCCCTATCCCCATGACAGTCTGTTTTGTGTGTTGTAGTTTCTCCTCAGTATCTTCATCAAACAGCACAAGGTTTTTAATCTCTTACTAAGGAGGGTTTATTTGTAGTTTCTTGCCAAGAAATGTGGATACATGCAGGAGCAGGCCTCAGATCTTTTGAGTCTGACCAAAACGATGCATACTTTTGTATATGATAATGTCAAACACTTCATACTCTGGGATGAAGTAAGGGTTCAACTGGTTGTGTTTTATCAGGGCATGCAAGAGATGGTAGGGTCAAAGACTAAACTCTGACTCCAGGGAAACACTATTATGAAGTTGGGTCACAAGTACAGGGAAGACTGTGATCATCAAGGGAAGTATCTAGGGCTCTTCAGGACAGATGAATGACAAATGTGGTTGAGGACAGAGATTCAAACGTGGTGAGCTTGTGTTTGAAACTTTAGTTGGTGACAAACAACTGAGTCTTATGGCACACAGTACAAATTGTGCCTAGACACTGGATTTCATGTTGGGTTTGCTCTGTGTGATTCCTCTAAATGTAAGGAAGCTGATGAAGGACTGAGTTAGTCCATGATGTATAAATGAATTCATCCTGTGAGAATTATTAAGTTTAAATGTATTTTTCATGTGTGAGCAGCAAGTGTTGTGAGCGTTGTGCCTATGATAATGGCACAACTTGGGGTGCATATATGATGCATCCCAAGACAAATCTGATGATCATCTGTACTGTTGTTAATGTCCCCAAGTAAATGTTGTACAAGCATTGTATATGTGACAATTAATTGATAATCTGTTACATTTCAGGTGATGCTACAGTGACCATCACTCACAGATACACACCAAAAGAGCAGCTTAAGATCCATACGCAACTTGCTGACATTGTAATTGTAGCTGCAGGTAATACTAGTTATTGTTAATACTCCAATTGCAATGTTCAAAACCTAAAAGGTAGACTTTGGTGTCTGTGTTGGTGGCACTGCTGGCTATTTCATGTTTTACCAAACAGTAGGTGCTCATGTTTGTTGAGGGTGTGCAGTAAGTAGGATTTCTTGTAAGAAGGGCAAGTGACTTGGCTCTTTATTCTTGCCCTTCACATCTGCAGACTCATAAACTGTTTCTGGTCACATGTGACACCTTTCCCTTAGGGAGACTTTAGAGTGAACTCAAGATTGGGAACCAGTCAGTGCATAGTTTATACAGGTATAATTATGTAAATTAAAACATTCTCTGTGCTGTGCAAAAATCATGAGTCATTGAAATTTTGACAGGAGGGTTTCTTGAAATCAGCTGGAGGCTGTGTTCATAAAACAATGGTAGCATTCCCTCACTGTTAGGATTAAAGGCAACCTTGCCAAATTAACTGATAGTTTTGGTAACCTAACGTATGGCTGAATTTATTTTTTTTCTTTTACAATTATCGTGTGAAGAGAATAGTAATTGCGTGGAGGAAGGGGTGCAAGAGATCAGCGTCTTTATTCTCAAAGCAGTGTAGGATGAAACACTTAGTTTGACTAGTCTGGAATAAAGAAACAAGCAGAACTGTTTCTCAGCAACCTCTGTTTTTTTTTGTTTATGGACATCCTACATAGAAATATAAATTAACTTAAAGAAAACAAACCCGAACAATGCAACTTAATAAAAACCTTGGTAAAATTTCATGTCCTGTCACAGCTCAGGATAGCTTCCTTGACTCATACCAGTTTGAAGGACTACAAGAGGATTGCATCTTTCCTCTTTTCTCCTCCCTTCCTCTTTCTTCATCATCTTCAAGACCAAAGTCTTGCCTACTTAATTTCTAGATGAAGACAGATAGGTACCTGTCTAAAGCTCAGCGCTTCCTGTTGCATTGAGATGGCCTTTGCTTCAGGGCTTAACTGTACTATCTCTTTCTCATGCCAGGTCAGGAACAAGAGATGGCTCAGTTGGTTCCACATAGGATTACCCAACTGTGGGCATGACCAGAATTCATGCGCTGTGAAGGAATGATGATGATAATGTATGTGCTGAGTGGAAGTAAACTAGTGTCCTGGGTTCAGTAGCAGTCATTTTTCTCCTTATTAGTAGCTGATGCAGTGCTGTGTTTTTTGACTTTCAGCCTGAGACCAGCACTGCTAACACCGATGTTTTTAGTTGTTGTTAAATAATGTTTACCATGGCCAAGGACTTTCTGAGTCTCACGTCCTGCCAGGCAGGAGGGGAATCTGGGAGGAAGCAAAGACAGGACACCTGACCCAAACTAGCCAAAGGGGTATTCCATACCACAGCACGTCATGCCCGGTGTAGAAATTGGGGCAGTTACCCAGAAGGGCTAGATCACTGCTTGGGTCGGGCTGGGTTTTGGTCCGTGGGTGGTGAGCAGTTGTATTTTCTTCCCTTGTTATTTCCCTTATCATTGTTATTATTGGTGGCAGCAGTAGTGGTTTGTGTTATACCTTAGTTACTGGGCTGTTTTTATCAAGAGTTACATTCTTTCAATTCTCCTCCCCATCCCTCCGGGAGGGGGGTGAGGGGTGGTGGGGGGATGGGGAGTGAGTGAGCGGCTGCGTGGTTCTGGGTTGCCGACTGGGCTTAAACCACGACAACTAGTAACTGTTCATCCAAAGTCACTGCTTCCAATTTTATCATCACTTCTGATTTTTATGCTGAACAGTTTGCCATCAGTTACGTTTGCAGTTAAAGGGTTCAGTACCGTGTGTGTTTTGTGTTTTCCTTGTGTCACTTGTAACAGGAGCATGATATAACAGTTGTTACACAATCTGAGATACACTTGGAATGATGCAAAAGCATACAGCTGAATTGTGCAAACAGCATGCAGCCCTGTCCAAGTGGCTGTGCTGGGGAAGTTTATGCTTTAGAAAGTTGGAATCCTTCCAGGCTTCCTCTTGTTACTTGAGAATTCTGCACATTATAGCTTCAGGATCACGCATTGCCTGGAAACGTGTGACCTGTTCAGTGAGTGTTGCAAAAAAGCTAGCTTGTACCCTGCCAGATAGGAACAGCTGCTGTCATAGGCCATTGTGCAAGGTGTGCACATGGAAAACAGTCTTTTATGCATGTCTGCATGTAGGCGCAAGATTTGTATTCTTTTTCTCCTCTTCCTACGGAGTAATTTCAGCAGAGTCATCTGCATTCTGGCTCCTGGTTGGTGACTTGTTGCAGGGAGTCTCTTCATTCTGATGTTGTACTCTCTGTGAGGAGTTTTCTGTTCACTTGCATTTCATGGCTTTCCTAACACTTCAAGTCAGGGGCTTCTTTTATTGCCTTGGAGTTTGAGAATATCCATCTTCATGTATTTTCTCCCATATGTCCCTAGGAAAACCGGAACCCCACTTTTCCTGCCTGCTTTGATTGTAACTATCCATGTAGATTATTCCTTCCCAGCTTTGTTTCTCTTCTGTTTAAAATGTGATTGATAATTTTCTACAGAAGGCACCAATGAGAGATTTTCCCACATTCTTCAGTCAGTGCATTTTAGGAATAGCTGCACTAATGCTTATCTCTTCCTACTTGGTATGTAAAGTAGGCTTAAATAAATAGATCTGCTCATTTGGTTTGGAGGTTAGTTCATTTGTTGCTATTAAGTATTTGGCCTATTATCAAACCATTTACAAAGGGTGTAACTGTGCAGCTGTTAATGTGCTTCTATCCCTATCATGCATAGATCATTTACCCCCATAAGGCTGAGGCATTATCCAATTAACAGCCAGCTTGCAATGGATTGCATAAGAGCATGATGAAGTAGACATAGCCAGATGTTATCAGGTGGCATAGGAAAGAATTTGAGGTCTTGGCTTGCCCAACATTAGAAGGAGAGTTTCAAGCTTGTGTCCTATGGGGGAGTGAGAAATCGAGAGCAGAGAAGGTTCTTGTATTGCCTGTATGCCAATGACTAACTGGCTGTCATCCAGCGCTTCAGATGAAGCCAAAGCTCTCGTACACCAGTGCTTGCCTCTGATAAAACTAGTCTCAAACCAGATGGATTTGCTGTTTTCCTTTTATTTCTCTCCGTCTGAGAGAAGGCTGCTTTGGTGGAGAGAGGGGAGCTTAGATTCCCCCTTTGGAGATACCCTATTACTAGGATGAACGTTCCTCACAAAACATAGAACTGATGGAATTGCTCAAGAAGCAAAGTGCTTTGTAATTTCAAAGTTGGAGTTTCCCATCACTTCAAGTTGGAGGTTGCATGGTAGGAAAGAAATTCCAGATTTTATTTAAAGTGAGTACAGAGGAAAGAGTACCACTGATGCAATTAAGGTACATAGGCTAATGCAAATGATGTGTAAGGAGTTGATGTTCTTGGCTCTCTGATAGCATGCAGTGACTTCGGTCTCAGATGCTGCTTTGCCTGAATGTTCCAGAAGAGGCTTCATTTGTTGTGACTGTCCAGGAAGAAACTTTCAGGTGTGTAATCACATGATGCTACTGTTGATAAAGCAGCGCTACTACATTAGTTGCAAGATAGACTTTTTTGTAGTTAAAATGGCTCTGAACTACTTTGAGCCTACTGAACTACTATTTTTGAAAGGGAGGTCTTTTCTGTGCATCAGGAGGAGCTGTTGGCATGCCATGGAAGTTTTGCCTCTAGAAAGCTGGATGAGATTGATCTCCTCAAAGTAAATGTGTGATGCTACCTGCAGTTTTAAATCCAGTACGGCAGTGTTCTTCACAATATGGAAGGCATTTATTTTCCAGGACTACTGCCTTACAAAATGGTGGTTTGCCACCCTGTTTGGTAAGGAGCTATGTTAGATTTTGTGTGTAATAGATGTCGCCTGAGAGGTGAAGAAGGGGTGTAGGGCTGAGGCCAGGCTGTATTTTTCTTTCTAGCTTATGAGAGGATCAGGTGAAGAAAGTGTTGCTTGGAAGGCAGTTGCTTCTCTCCTACAGACTGAGCTGATGCTGTTTATTTTGGGTAAATCTGAAATGGCCATTTTATTTTTTCCTGTTTGCTGTTGTGGTTTAAGCCCAGATGGTAACTCAGAACCATGCAGCCACTTGCTCACTCCCCCCCTGCCTCCTTCCTGCTCCTGGAGGGGTGGGGAAGAAAATGGAAAGAATGTAAATCCCATGGGCTGAGATAAGAACAGTCCAGTAACTAAGGTATAATACAAAACTACAGCTGCTACCACCAATAATAATGATGATAAGGGAAATATCAAGGGGAGAGAATATAAAACTAAAAGGGGAAAAGGAAAACAATAAACAGAAGTGATGCACAATACAGTTGCTCACCACGCACCAACCGATACCTAGCCTGAACCGAGCAGTGACCTGGGCCTTCTGGGTGACTTCCCCCAGTTTCTATACTGGATGTGACTGTGATACAGAATATCCCTTTGGCTAGTTTGGGTCAGGTGTCCTGTCTCTGCTTCCTCCTGACTTCCCGTGTCCTTTGTCACTGGCAGAGCATGAGAGTGAAAAGTCCTTGATCAGAGTAAGCATTACCTAGCAACAACTAAAAACATTGGCATGTTATCAGCCTTGTTCTCAGACTAAAGTAAAAAATGCATCACTGCACCAGCTACTAGGAAACAGAAAAAACAACTGCTACAGCTGAACCCAGGATACCTGTCTATTGTTTCTAGGTGATGGGAGTCAAAAATAAGATGGCAGGGTAGATCAGAGTGTCTTGTCACGCTAGCATTTATTTTGGTTTTTGTAGTAGTGTATTTTCATGTAGTTCATGTTCACTAATTAAGTGAGTGGTTGAAATGTTGTGGAAGTAACAAGTATATGAGAAATTGGAGAAATGTATATCCAATGCAGATAATACAAAAAGCCACGGAAGTAACGTACAGGGCTTGCTTCAGCAGTTGGCAACACTTTGGATCAGCAGGCCTCTGACATTTTTATATTAAAGACTTCTTGTGGCTCACAGAGCATCTTCATGGCCCAGCTTTTCTTTGGAAATGCTATGAAAGGGACTTACTACCACAAACCAGGAATTAACTGCTTCATTGAGATCATGTCGATTATGTTTGTGACTGCAGGCTTAGCTGAAAATGTTTAGTAAAAATGAAGAAATATCGCCTTTCATTCTCATAATTACAAACTGTGTGAAACTGAGGGATTATTGTTTTCTGTGTGTGATGTATCAAGAAACATTCAAGTAAAAAAATAACCTTTTTTGTGCACACATACATAAGCATGCACAGCCCTTGATATAATTTAAACTGATGACCTAAAGCTGCCCAGCCATGTTAATCAAATTCATCTTGATGATTCCAGGTATCCCAAAGTTGATTACAGCTGACATGGTCAAAGAAGGTGCGGCTGTGATTGATGTAGGCATCAACCATATCCATGACCCTCTTACAGGAAAGACCAAGCTAGTTGGGGACGTGGACTTTGAAGGTCAGTGAAACACTCTTTGTAAAAACCAGTTGGATAAATAGATTGAAGTTTGTGAGATTCATTCTCAATAAATACTTGGAATAGCCAGTGTCTCAAATGAGATGACACTTGCAGGAGTTTTTCCAATTTATTTACTTAGATAAGAGAACTAACTGTGTTCATCTGCTCTTAAGAGATGCTATTATTGAACAGAAGAAGTGTTACTTTTAATTACACATACTAGCAACCTTCAAGAGATGCAGATGAGCTCTTACCGTAGTGTGGTGACAGATGCTTATCACCAGGCTTCTTCAATTCTTTGTGAGTCTGAAATGTTTCAAGAGTAAGCAATAAAAACAGTTTCTGCTTTTTCACCAGCAATGGGTCTCCCACTGTTCATAGCAAATATTATTATACTACGGCTTTTCAAGCCTCCTCTTATGCTCTCACTCTACACTTGTTTATGAAAACATTAACTTCTGCTTTAGAAGCGTCCTTTATGCTAAGGTTTAATGTGGGTTCATGTGAAGCTGTTGAAAATATTTGTCCAAGCAAGCCTAACAGATAAAAAATGGTGATGGTGTTACATATTGATCTTTTTGTTTCATGTGTGGCCGAGCAAGTTCACAGTGTAATGCAGTTAAGTATCTCTGCTCTGGAGGAGCTCCAGACTGGAATAGCAGGACTGTTGCAGTTGAAAATTAAAGCTTACTGGCAGAGTTGAGTGTGGGAAGCTTAGACAGCATTTACCCACGTTATTAATGGTTCTCAACAGTTCCTTATTTTGATAAGTATGAAAATCACCCACAGGGTTTTTTTTTTATGGTTATTAACATCTTGGCTGGCATAATGTCTCAAAGCTTAATTATATTCAAAATGTTTCTAGCCAGCTGTATGTGTTTGTAATTACCTCATTCCCTCGGTTCCTGCTTTTTTTTTTTTTACTCATCACACATGATACTTGTCTGTTAAAGTCAGTGGAATTAACTGCACAAGTGTAGCTAAGGGATTGTCTTGGCGTGCATTTGGAAGTGTGCAACTTGTCTCTACAGTAGTTACAGTAGGAAAATACTTTCGCAGTACAATTTGAAATTATTGTTTTGTTTTGTAATCCTGGTTGTACTATCACAAGTAAAAAGCTGTATCTTCTATTTTCAGAACTGAAGTATAGAGAACTTTCAGGATTTTTTTTGTTTGCTTAGTAGGTATGGGAGGAAAAATGCTCTAACCTTTGAGAAACATGTAGTTTTATCCTTTTTGTTTGTCTTTCTTTAATCATGAGACCTTCTCAATGCAATATAGGTGTAGATTCAGTGACAAGGCTGTGATTCAGAGTTTCAGCAATGCACTGTATATGTCTCATCATGTCTGCTGTGGGTTGTTCTCAGGATTTTACTTGGGGGGAGGGAAGATCCAACAAGGAGGGAGGAACTTCAGCTTGGATTATGCCACTACAGTTGCAAGTAGCATTTCACTGTGCATTGCCAAAGGGAAATTGTTGTTGGTTCGTTGGTATCGGTGAAAGTTTCAGTAAATCTCTTAACAACAACAACAACAAAAAAATCACAGTGTATGCAGTTCTACATACTAACAAGTAAATCGCCCTCACCAAGCATTTGATTTGGCAATGAGGAAATGGAACAAGCTAATATATTAATGTAGCAAATTGTTTCATCCTTTTCCTTTGTCTTGTCACTTGAGTGAATTTGCATTTAAGCCCCAGTGGAAGTGGTTTTTGCAGGTTAAGGCCAGGTACATAACTGGCTGGCATGCTATGCAGCACCGGATTGTGTAGCCCACCAGTATCTGTTGTCTCATCATCCCCTTCTTTAAGTAGGGAAATGTTATGGGGTGAGCAGAGATTTAACTGGGTACCTCTGTGCTTGTCAGACTTAATGGTGTATGTGAGGCAAAAATGACAGGATGTATTATAGAATATCTTTAAACTGTATCTGTGATTTCCTCCATCCCCATATGTCCTCTTTTTGCTTGGCAGTCCAAACTGTGTCTGCACAAAGAAAGGCTTTTTTTTTTTTTTTTTTTTTCTTCACAGTAGTTCACTGAGCAGTTCCCAGGTATCAGAAAGAACAAGGCAGGAAAACGCTGTACATGTGGAGGTCAGCTGCAGAGTGCTGAGGTACCTACCCCAATATTGCTGGCCTTTCTTCACCTGTATGTGCATCTATCTGTATATAACCAGCACAGCACATTGTGTACCCCTCTTTATGTTAAGAATTTGCCAAAATCTGTGCCCAAGGGAGGGGGACTTCTGTAGCTTTTGGGAGCCACGGGAGGGGGGGTGAACTGACAGGGAAGAGAAGAAGCAGTATCATCCTTAGGTGATTGCCAGTACTGTTGTAGTTACTTTGGAACAGCAAGTTTCAGTCTCAGGAAGGGAGACATGTTTCTGGGAACAGGGTAGCATGTGTGTGGGAGTACTTGGCCCTTGTTTATAGGGCCTTTGTTGCCACAGCAGTAATGCTGAGGGGGGAGGGCTGCAAGGACCAGAAACATGAAATAAAGCAACAGCTTACACAGAGCATTTAACTGGAATGGCTTTTTTGGGTGGAGCACCATTTCCAGGAGTAACTGGTAGAGCAGGGTAATAGCATGCCAGTGTAGTAGCTAACCTTTGAGACTGGAACTGGAAATGACCCTGAAACCAAAGTGTCCAGAACTCACGTGGGGTTTGCTTTAAGTGCTTCCTGTATTTCTTTATGATTCCTCCCATATCTATGACAAGCAGTCAGTAATGCTGGGGTTTGAGTCTTTATTGGATGTCTATATGGAAAAGAAATCCTTTATGCAAGACCTTTGAAGGAAATTCTTTCCTGTTAGGGTGGTGAGGCACTGGAATAGGTTGCCCAGGGATGTTGTGAATGCTCCATCCCTGGCAGTGTTCAAGACCAGGTTGGACGAGGCCTTGGGTGATATGGTTTAGCGTAAGGTGTCCCTGCCCACAGCAGGGGGGGTGGAACTAGATGATCTTAAGGTCCTTTCCAACCCTAATTATTCTATGATTCTATGTATCAGTGGAGGGGTGTATAAATGAGGATGGATCTCCTAGCTCATCTGTTTTGCACAGCCCAGGCCATGTAAAATTGATGCTGGGAAAGGAGTGCCACCAGGAACAGGAGGTACTCAAATACTCACTACTGAATGGCAAAGTGCCTCAATAAATGATTGATATGGTATGGGCTGATGGGTACATGTTAAGAATTTTCTTTCAGTGACTGCAGGGAAACCAGGGAAATGAATACTATGAACGTGGGGAATGGACCACATTAACATATTGCTCCTGGATAGACCAAGTGTACGAGAAAGAAACAGTGGAATGAGAAACAGGGAAATGTATCCTGTCCTCATCAGCAACAGGACTAATGACCACAAAATCATCAGACAAGTTGCTTGCAACTTGTTCATGCAGTTTAAGGGATTGACCATAATAATTTTGGAGTCCAGTTCCTCCATGGAAGTGGTGGTCCTGTAGTTGGAACTTGGCTACAGTGCGTGGGGAGCTCCAGCTGAGTGACAGGAGTCGCTCCTGACAGTTGTTTGCTGCCGCTTTGCGTTCACTGTGTTACCTTCCAGGCTGTAGGCTTCTGTTAAGATTATTGAATCCTTTCCAGATTCTGTCTCTGTGCAACTTTTCCAAATAGTGGTTTTGAAAGTAAAGCCTGGATGTTCCAGCTGCTTTTGCTGTAGCTTCTGTTAATTTCTCAGTTGATTTTGAAGACCTGTTATTATTCATTTTGTAATTAATAAAAGGCCAGGTTATGTAATCTTGTCACCACATTACTGCTCTGCAAAAATCAGGGTGAGCTTTGCCTTTTGTTTTGCTCCACTAGTGCAATAAATTAATCAGAAAGTTAGCGTAAGGCTGGTACCTCCAGAAGGACAGACTGGGTGGTGCTGGTAAACTGCTGGATGGCCAAGTGTAGATGCTTTTCCACAGAAAGGTACGTCATGCAGGGGTTTAAGTAATCAACCTTGGATCTCTTGCATTTCTGCTGCCACTGCTTGTTGTCCCAAGACTTCGGCAATGTTCCATCCACCTGCTAATAACCTGATTGTAAAGAAGCTGTTGTGCATAATTTTGTGCTGGGTTTTGCTGCCGAAGATGCCTCTGCTGCTTGGCTTTTAGAGGTACTGGAGAAGTGAAGGTGTACGTGCTCTTAGAATTACAGTACCGCACCAGGATTTCTTGATTTTCCTTTCTATTGCTGTTAAAATAGCTGCAGTAAGGGGAACAGGGATAACATGAAAAAGAACACACTGATGTGAAGTGTAGATCCAGCCATTTGGCATCCCATGGTGTGCAGTGAGAAGAATCCGAGAATGTGAAGAGCAGAACATGGGGTATCTACTGTGATTGCTGAGCACATGATTTTGCACTTATGCAGGGGTGCAGGGATGCAGCAATCCAGAGTAGCTTTACAGGGGCTAATAAAGCTGTGTGGAAACAGTGCTTAGGCAGGAATTGCTCTGCATCACTTAATGCAGATGCACAAGACCCAGAACTGCCTTCAGGTTGAGACTTGCCCTTGGTTTGTGTGATTAACCCTGTTAGGTGTCTGATGTCCTTAGCTTTAAAGGAACCTAGGAATGAAGGGCTGTTTCCAAAGCAGTGGATCCTGTTTTTCAAGGAAACAATCTACATTTCATTTCTTGTGAAGAATCAAAGGAAGATTTTAAGGTTCTACAGAAGCTGCAAAACAGCAGCTCCGCCCCCAGAGGCACCAAATTTGCATGCCAACATTTTCCACATGGGCAGAGAAATGCCTGGGACAAGGACAGGCAGCTCCAGAAAGCAGAGTTAAACCTGGGGATAAAGTTCGACCATTGCTGAGAAGCAGGAACATGACCTTCTGAATGAACTGACAGGAGATCTGTCACGCCTGGGAACTGTGCTACGCTTGATGAGGAAAACAAAATCTAGTCACATTTTTGAGGGCCAAGTTATTTTTCCCTCTTGATCGCTGGCATTCAGCTTGGAAAATTGCACTCACCGTATCTATATTTGCTCTTACCAATGGCAGCTTATCAGATGGTCGTTTCCCCAACACAAGACACCTCTTTGTGTATTGAAATACCTGAATCAGCTTTGGGGAATAAGCTGTCCAGGTGGTTTTCTGCTAACTGATACAAAACATGTCTTCTGCCACACTGACCCACAGGGATTTTCATAATGAGAGAGTGTGGGCAGAGAGATTCCCCGGCAACTTGTGACCATAGCACCGTGTGTTTACCACGGAGTACGGTTACTAACACTAGAGGCGATGAATGTTGTACAAGATACTCATTAGAAGGCACCGTCGGGTTGTGGATTGTTCCACTTTGTAAGTCAGATAGGAGTAGTTTGGATAACACCACAAAAAGCAGTAACATTGCCATAGAAACAAACATTTCAATTTGAAATGCCCCAGATTTTTTTTGTTAATTACTGTGTTTACTTCAGATGTGGGTAAATTTCAATAATTAGGACCTGAATCTGGGGATTTGGAGTAACTGTGCTAACCAAAACCAGCAGGCTCATATGGAAGGTAGTACAAAATAATGTAACTATTAAAAAGACAAATTATTGGTTTCAGAGAATAGTAAGGATGACTCATAGGAGAGCTGAATTCATTTGTTACAGTTTACATGTGAAAAGAACCACATAACAACAATTTGTTGACCGAAATTTCCAAGTATTTTCACGCTATATCTGGTGGTATCAGTCAGCTCCATAATTAAAACCCTTCTAGGTGTAATTACCATTTGTCCTCAATGAGGTTTAATCTTTTTGTGCCCAAGTTCAGTGAGATAATCACTGTTAACTTCCCTAAAACTTTTCTGTCCAAAAAAAATTATATCCAGCTTTTCAAATTCTCTTGTAATACTCATTTTTTGAGATGTTGTTATATTATTGACAGGCTGAGAAAATTGAGGCTGTTCAGCCTGGACAAGCGTGAGACGTCCCTGTCCATGGCAGGGGGTTGGAACTGAATGATGTTAAGGTCCTTTCCAAACCAAACCATTCTGTGATTCTATGATTCTCTACAGTAAAGTGCCACATACAATTCAGAATGAATGCACTTAAAGCAGGAGCAAATTATTGTCTTAGTTCCAAAACCCAGGTGCCTAGTTTTCCATCCGTGGAGCTCTTCTCATGGCCAGGTGTAGTAGGTTCTGCTTTGTAGTGACTTCAGTGGAAGTGTATGTGCTTGTGTCAGAGTTGTGCTTGCTCAGTGTTCTCATGGGTGGGTGGGTGTGTGCCTTTTCAAATACAGTGTTTTTTAAAAGTGGTTTGTGTGTTGCCATGAAATTATTCATAAGCAAGGGGGGAAAAAAAAAAAGCTAACAAGCAGAAAAAACCTCTCACAGTGGCACTTGAGAAAAACCCTCTGTAGTAACCAGGTTAATAATATTCTATTTGGAGTAACCATTATTAGCAAATAAGTGCTCATTAGTTATGTGCTGAATTCCCAGCCAGTTGCATCTAATTTCTATGCAAGTAACCTGCAATTCCACCTGATTGCGTTTTGTGCAGTAGATAAGAATATCAAGTCAGGATTGTTTGCTGCATTATATTAATTCCTCATCCAAAGAAGTTAACTTCACAGGTGCTAAGTAAATAATCTGCATGGATTTACCTCTTAACACAAGCATTCAAGGTGTTTACTGACTTTGGATAGTCTGACATAATTGTTATTAGAGCAAATTCAGCTCTTGAGTTTCTTTCTGTTGGAGACTTGGGGGAGATCTGCATTTCTGAATCCCAGTTCAGTATAGGCACCCTAGTAACACTGGTTAAAAACCCCAAGTCTTCTCTGGAGGAGCTGAGCGTTTGTGCCTGAAGTCACAGTGGGAGTTTTGCCATTAGGATCTGTATTTCTCTTGCAGACAACTCTTGATTTTGTTCTCTGTCCATAGTATGAAACAGACAAGCAAATGAACCAGGAAACTACATTCTTCCTCTGTGGTTTAAGTTCCCTTTTGTGATCATAGAATGTCTTTGATAGAAGGTGCAAGCAAGAGGAGGCAAAAGGGGCTGTTAGGTGACTTAACTGGTGCTGGTGCTCTGCTGTTGGCTCTGATAGAGCAGACTCCTGCTCTGCATGCTGCTCCTCAGCAGCACACACAGTGTGGGGAGGCACCTCTTTACCTACAGAATCAGGTCCCTACCTTCCATAGCTCTCCTGGATATTGAAGGTGCAGTATCCCAGCTGGCATATGAAGGTTGTACAAGTCCTTGCTGCCTTCCTGGGGTTGTCCTGTCTTGTGTCACCCAGCCTTCTTGGGCCAGCTGGTCAGTCTGGTCAAACAGTAGTCACAAACTGCCCCTTACCAAAAAATTGGGTGGGGTTTATTTTCTATCTGTCTTGGCACAGGCTCTCAGGAGGAAAGGGCAGCCTGCTGCAGATAGATCAGCTCAAATGGGTTGTGAAAGCATTACCCAGAACTAGCCCTGGGTAATAATGTTCAGATGAAGAAGACGACCTTGCAGCCCAGTTCTGATAGTGTCCTGTCACTACCCTGGCTGTAAGAACTCAGTGATTAAAACTTGTCTGTTTTACACTTGTCCCATATTCTTGTACACTTGTCCCATATTCTCCAACATTTTCCAAGTCACAGTCCTTGGTGCTTGTTGCCAGTTAAGTGCTTGTGGACAACTGAAGGAACAAAAGAGTTTAGAAACTCTTTTAGTTAATATCTGTTTCTCTTTTCTCTTAGAAGTGAAGAAGAAGGCTGCCTTTATCACTCCAGTGCCGGGAGGGGTAGGACCTATGACTGTTGCAATGCTCCTGAAGAACACACTCATAGTTGCCAAAAAGCTCATTTACTAGAGCAAGTGGGCTCCTTTGGAAGAAGAATCCAAGTTGTTCTATTTATTGATACACAAAATGTTTATTTTTTACTACAAAGATATTTATTTCTACATTGTATTTATTTTTTCATGTAAAGCATGCTAAACCAAATGGTTTACAAGATGTTCAAATACTTTGTGTAACCTCCTACTGACTAAAAGCTAAAAGGGAGAATGCAGCCTATGCAGATCTGGTGGTGGTGGTCTATTACCTGTGTGAAAATAAAGCAGCAGCATGAATTACAAACGTACCTGTGTGTTTGGGGGTGGGGTGCAAGTACCAAAGTCTTGTAAGCACCTGGAACCGCAGTCTTAATCAAACAACATGAAAACTTACTTTCGACATGCTAGATAGGTTTTAAAAATATGATTTGGGTTCTGAGGGCATGACGCATACTGGGTGTAGTTTGTACTCTTAAAATTCTTTTTTTTTTTAAACACTTAAGAGATAGCAGCAGAAATCTTGAATCTGAAAGGAGTGAAAGGCTGAACTTTTCAGCTGCTTAGCGGTAACATTGACATGACTGCAAAACTTCAATACCTGTTTTAAAACAGTCAGGTGGACCTGAACGCTGGTGAAATTGTGCTCTTGAATGTTTGCATGAGGTATGCATGAATGAGGAGCTAGAATGGAGGCCAGCATTATTTTCTTTCCATATCTGAATTTGTTTAACTAAATGTTTTGGTGCATAACACCCTCACTCTTCACAAGAAACTGAATAGTTGGCTGGGCTGGATCAGACTTCAGTTAGGCAAATCATAGTTTAAACCACCATGTATGTATATTATATATGTAACGGGGTGGGGAAGAAGAAGAAGAAAAAAGCAAGAGTTTATCCCTAATGCAATATTTGTGTTGGAATTTTAAGCCACTTAATTGTTCTCTTGGTTTCTGAAACTGCGTGAAGGGCTGGTTTTAGTCCATGGTATAAGGCTCAGCTCTGTGAATCTTTGACTACAGTGTTTTACTGCTTAGAGAAGGCTAGATGGGATACTAAGATCAGTACTTTTCTGTTGCCAGAAATTTTAGTTCCAAGATGGCTCTAGACTAGTCTCATGCAATGTGGAAGTTGGAATGGAGTGGCTGTGAAGGTGTCGCTTGAACTGTGTGAAGAGCCTACCCCAGTTCTCATTGGAGCCACTTTGGACTTTTATCTTGGTGTTTTTATCTCAGTTGGGATGGCTTTGATTTATTTTTATCAAGAGCTTTAGGTGTTTGCCAGTAGACTCTAGACAACTTGAAAAGGGAGGGTGTGGCAAAATACTCCTGCTTTAAACAAAATAAATGCTCTTATTGTAATAAAAGAATGAAGATGGAACATCACTTCTGTGCTGATGATTTTTGTGATGAACTTCCCAAGAGTTCTGTTGCATGCAGCATTTATCAAAGAGGCTGCCAGAATCACTGCTAAAGGTGTAGTGCCAAGAGTGCAGGAGCTTGCTTATCCGTTTAAATTTGAGCAGTAGTTACAGCTCAGGAGGATCAAGGTGCTTGTGGGGATAAGACTCAGACTGATCAACCCAACGTTGGTTGAGATGGAATAAAATTTGTTTACTCTTACATTAGTCTTGGTGAGAAATTTTGATGTGTTTTTCGGGTTGACTGTGGGTTTTTTTTCCCTTGTATCAGTGAGTTAGGAGTGGAGCTAATGGATGTGTTCTGCATGTTCAGTCATGAGATTTTTCATCTGTTTATCTTGCTGTTCTAGATCAGTGTTTCTTTTCTTGGATTAAACTCTAATCATCTCTGCTTTTTTTTTGGCAGAATAACAATTTATGGCATTTTGTTTATCTCAGTTGGGCAAGTCTGCTTCTTTCATGCTTTGCAAGCAGTTTATTGTGCATCTAAAGCTTTTTATTTTCTCACCTCTGTGGATGGGTTAGCATTACACAAAAGCTAGTGAGACTGAGGTGTTGATCTGCAGCATGCTATGTTCAGAGCAGCCAGAAACATCTGTGAGAGCATTCTCCACTGGGAGAACATCGAGAAGGAGCAACCACCCTGAAAAGCATGCTCATGTGCCAGGCTGGGTCAAGCCTGGTCCAAGCCTGAATGCCCTGTGGTGGACAGAGACCCAGCCTTATCCACTGGAGCCTTCTTATGGGCCTACCGCACCCAGGTCTATTGCCTAATGCCAAAGCCACCTCATGGATTCACATCGGATTAAGCTCCTGTTGTGTAGATGTGTGTTGAAAGCAGGACTTGTGAGCCTTATTCCTGCTTGGGAATGATAGCAGAGGTTATCCAGGTAGGCAGAAACACTCCTGTGTGCAGGCTGTACTCCATCAGTGTGCAGGCATGCAGCAATTCAGGATAGCAAAGGAGGGGAAAAGCCTTGTGGAATGCAGTCCATGAGCAGGAGAAGGTATAATTAAAATGTGCAGAACTGGCTTGTGTTTTTTCCCTTAACATGTAAAGTGGTTAGGTTGAATCCTGCAGATCCCTCGGGAGTGGAGCATAGAGGGAGAATTTGAGCGGGCTAGAGTTACTGGAGTTTGTCAGGAGATTTTTGGCTGTAAAATACAAAAACTATGAAATGGTTTTGTTGTTTGGAGCTCATAGTTGCAGAAGCTGTTGCTGGTGTGAAGTGTGTAGCTCTGCTTCAATCAGAGTCAGGATGTTGCTGTGTCTGTGCCTTATTGAACCAGGCACTGCTTCTGGTTCTAGTATGTTTGGCTCTGCCTCTGGAGATCCAACTAGTCCTACTAGTTCCCAGCTGCCTGTGCCCAAGGAAGCTGAACAGCATTTGGACCTGTGGAGTGACATTTAGTGTGAGAAATGAGTGTGACAGATATGTCTTAGAAACCTGCAAACACTTCATGTAAAAAGTATGATAGTTCCCATTATGCATACCTACTTCTTTGAAAAGATGGAGGTGGGCATTTATAGCAGTGTAGTGGCAGGAGTAATGAAGGGTTCTCCTGTTACAGGAGACCACAGCTTACTTGCCCTTTCTGCCTGTCTTCTCTATGCCTGTGCTTCATCAGCTTTGTTTCTGCTCCACGTAACTGCACGGAGCTTCAGCCAGTGTCACATGCCTGGTGCAGGGCTGGTGGCTTTCCCTGCTTCAGAAGGTTGTGTACAGGGAAGGCTGGCTGAGGAGCCGTCAGCATGCCCCATAGACTCCCCAGAGCCTGTCAGCAAAGGCTTCTCGCTGCAGTCACCAGTGGAGAACATCATCCATTATCTCTGTGTCTTATCACTTTATAACATCGGCAGTAGCTGTCTCATGGTTCCTCTTCTGGATGCAGTGCACAGAGGACCAACGAAGGAACACAAGCAAAACAGGGGATGGTCCTCAGACCCTGAGCCCTGGAGTAGCATCCTGAATGCTGACTGTCCTCCTGGAAGTAACACAAGATTGCATTTCTATGGGAAAGAAAGATCACGTCTTCCACAATACGTCATTCTTCATTTTACTCACCTGTTTTGCTGTATTTCATTGATCTGCTCTGACAGATACCGCATCTGTCTTGAAAACTGTACCTTTGCATGCACAATGATGCCCATGGGTAATAGGAAACCAGGGTTTCAAAAGAAAACCTGATTCCATTGCTAGATAATAGCAGTTTCCTAAATAAATGTGTGGTTGCCCCAGGGGCTGTGGTTGTTGCCAGATGCACTTTTTCTTGATTGGTGAGAGCAGCAGATGACGCTTCGTGGCATATAAGCGTGAGAGAAAACACGGGAGCCCAGATAAGCCGAGTGAGTTGCCTGGACTGAGGAACTGAGAAGGTGCTTCAAGCAGCTGTGTGCCATGGCATTTGGAATGCTCATCTATATTTTGCTGAAAGGTATGTTCTTGTGTGTAATAAAGTGCACAGCTTTGTTGAACAACACTTGGCTCCTTCTGAAATAAGCGGCAGGGGTGGGAAGCATGCTAAGGCATTGCAAAGCAGAATTACTTAAGTGGCTTTAAACTTGAATGAAACTTAAACTCATAGGGTATAATGCAGACCTCATGAAAAGCTCCTGGTAAATAGGTGTAACATTGTAGTATATTGCATTTATCTGTGTTCTAAATTGCATAAGGTAATAGAGTGGAGAACAGAATGGATGTGTGTTTTGGAAATTCACAAACAATAGTTAGTTTCCCCCCAATCATAATTTCTCTGTGGCAAAGGGCAGTTTGAGGCAAGAATGTTTGAAATGAATGGTTGTTGCATCACTGCATGGTATCAGAAGTGTAGTAAGTGGGTACATGTTTTGTGGATAATGTGAGCCTTGAATAAATATACTGAGTTTTTCTGTTACAGTAAGCATCTATTTGCATTACACAGCAATGGGGGCACTGAGTGAAGAGTCAGCTCTTACTGTTTCATCCCTTAGCACGGACTTATGGAATAACTGGACAAAAAACAATGCTGAAGGTACTCCTTTCTTGTTTTGATTGTCTTTATTAACCTGTCATTTTAAAAAACTGTCACTTGGACACTGTTGAAATTTTTGTGTGCTTTATTTGTGAGATGAGCTGCTGTTCGTGGAGCCTTAAAACCGTCTCTCAGGTAAGAGGTGCTCCTCAGCTGGGGTAGGCTTAGCGTTGCCCAGCTGAAGGATTCTTTATCCACAGCCAGTTACAATTTGAAGCAGAAATTTTAAGGCAAATTGGGATAGATGATCTGCATTTCTGATGGCTGTTTCTGTTACTTGTGTAACCAGGGCTTGGTTTCTAGCTGTCTTCAATGTGAACCTTCATACACACAGTGAGAATGCAGCAAGCGTCACTTCCAGTCATGCCTCTCATTACTGTTACTCAGTAGTTTCTTTCTCTGCTGCAGTTTTGCTGCTGGCTGTTGCAGCTTCTCCAGCCCTTTTCAGAGTGTTAGCTCTCTCTTTTTCTTTTCTGACTGAAATGTGAACTCCAGCTGTTTCCTTGCCAGCACCTGAGACCAGAGCACTGTGTTCATCCTGCGAGCTGCTTTCTGAATGTGATTTGAGGTAGTAGGGATGTCATTTCTTTGGGAGAACTGTGCAATCTGGAAGTGAGGTTTTGGCAGGTTAGTAAAGGAGGAAAGGATTTGAACTGTGAGACATAATGTCTTTGTTCTTTAAAAAGAACATAAACTTGCATACAAATCATCATCTGTTAATTGTAAGTCAGCACAGGATGTCTTGCAAGCTTCTTTTAGTAGATCCTTAAGCTGCTTATTTTTCTCATAACAAGTCAAACTGTTGCGGGGGGTTTGTCTAATTAGTTATAGTGCAGCAATATACATTCATACATACACTCTATGTGTGGGTTTCATCTATATGTATGTAAAATGTGTCTAATATATACTCATACATATGTGAAGTAATGTAGATTTTTGACTGCAGTAGTCTCATTTATCAGACCTGTGATCTGCATTTGTCTATGCCATGATAACTTCCAGAGCTGCATACAGCAAACAGGAATTTAATGAAGTAGAAATATGTTGTGACTTGTGCAGTGCAGTACCCTGTTTGTATTATTTCTAGAGAGCAGGAGTCAAGGATCATGTTTTAACAAAGTAAGAGGCTTTTTACTGGTAGACAGCCATGTCTGTAGTAGTCCCATGTACCCTTGGGCTAGTTGTGGCGGTGCAAGTCCACTAGATAACAGGGCTTTTAGCTGAGAGTGTGTTCCCCTCAAAGCAGAACCAAACTCCCAAGCATGCAAATACATGTTTACACAGATAGTTAAAAATATATTTTGGTGGAGGTTGTACGAAGCCACTGAAAAGTTAGAAAATACCATCTCCGAAAAGAAGGTTGAAAAGAAATGCTTCAAGACTCACCAGAGAAACTGGCTGTATCTCTCTGAAGTTTTCTTGTATCTCCTGTGCAAGTTAAGTTTTTAGTAAGGTTTATCTCCAAGGTTCAGTAATACTAGATCCTATGAAAATGAATTCACTGGAGGAACTGGCAGTTTGTTGTGGATTGCAAGTCCTCTGGGGCCTGAGGTGTAGTTTGGGCAAAACCATTAATTTCCGCTCAATCCACTTGCCTCCTACTTACAAGCTCATGTCCTATTTCTTTATTTTATATTACACAGTCTTTAGTTTCACTAGTGCTGGGGCTAGAAAATGTCAGGCTTGGTGATCAGTCAGGGAAGAAAAGGTAGTGGAAAGAATGCCTGGCTGGGAGCTGAGATGGCAGGGATAAAAACTTGGGATGCTGTTTGGGCTGGAGGGGAGCCTTCATAGCAAAATGGGCAACTAGGAGTAGGGAAGGGCTTGCTTTTACTTGGGGAAAAACAAGATTCCTTCATTGCTGTGATCTGGGTCTCCCATACAGGCTGTGAGGGAGGCCCTGCACATGGGACTGACCCTTTCCCTCTCTCCATCTCCATTCTGGTTCTTCCATTACTCCCTGATGCACCATAGTTGAAGGCTGAGCTCTCGTGGTCTTAGTGGCTTGGCTTGTCTTGTTGCAGGTCTGTCAGTTTTGGCATGCCCAGCCTTCCAAGTACCTGTAGTACTGATTTCATGTCACATCTTGCCAAGTGTATCTGTTTGAATGACTCAGTTGTCAAGTGCTTACACAGCATGCTTTACTTTCCTCATGTGACATGAAAGGCCACATGGATGTGTTTATTCAACAGCTTATTCAGTATCCAGGTGGATAACATGATATGAGTTAGCATAATGATCTGGGATGGGTTAGAAAAATTATTCTTTTTCTTCTCAAGACTCATCATTATTTCAGAGGTAATTTGTACTTCTGCAATATCAAAATAATTAGCACTTACAATTTGTGAGTGTGTGCATTTAAGATCTGATTTTGCAGCCCACAAGGGTCAAAGCTCCTGCCTCTCACAACAAGCAACAAGGGAGGAATGTACTGTTTGTTTGTCACCTGCACAGCAAGATGTTTGTCTCCAGCGCTTTCTAGGCAGGATTCTGCTCTAAGCTGACCTTTATTTCAAATGACAGCACAAACTTTAAAGGCACTCAGGAGAGAGGCTTTATGTACCTGTACAGAGCAAGGTTTCTTCCAGGCGTTGGCAGGTTGGAGGCTGCCACCTTTCGGCAGCCATGGGGTAGATGAGGAGTGATGTTCTGGTAGTGTGAATCCAACTGATAGAAGTTAGAGTGGAGGTGGCTGAGGATTTCTTGCCTCTGGCATGTAGGTTGGTACCTTCCTCATTTTGTTTCGGGTTTTTTTTCCCCCATACGGCAGAGGTGCAAGTGAAATACTAAACTTGTACGGAAGACATGTTCTCAGGACTCAGAAGAAGAGTAGTACCTTTGGTGGCAGGAAATATTGAGGGGTCCTGCTGATGAGTGGTCATGGTTACTGGTTTTATAATGCGCTGTTCAGCCCTTTTTGTCCTGAAATGGTGATTCACAGCAGTTCGTACTGAAGCATTTCAGGAGTCGCGGGGGGAGCATGAATGTGCTGTTGCTGTTTTCTGAAGCTCTTCCCTGCAGAGCTTTGGTAGTTTGTCTGCAGGTATATTAGGCCTAAGTGAAAATGGGCTTTTGCAGGTCTCCTGCATCCTAGATCTCCTTGTGGCAGGATGAGCTCTGCAGTTGTGTTAACCATGTGCTTTGTTTTCCATTGTGCTTTCCCTGGCAGTGAGCATCGTACAGTCCTCCTGGGCAGAATCTAGTGTCGTCCATCTCTTGTCACAAAAGCTGTCTTCTCTTGCTGAAATCTGTCCCTCCAAGGCCTAGTCCTGTGCTGACTGTGCTCTGGGCCAACAAGCCCACCCCCAGAGCTTGTCAACAGCATTCCAGAGGCAGCAGAGAAGAGCCAGATCTTGATAGCAGACCTTGTGGGTAGCCAGCGCCAACTTCTTCCCTTGCAGGGTGTGTGGTTCAAGGCTATGGGTGTGCCTGCCCTGCACAGGGCTTTCTGGAGCAGACACGCTATTCTGCTTTCATTAAATGGGGACAGTGTGGCTGTGGTAGCACAGATCTCACTGCTGAATGATAGAGATGGAGCCTCAGGCTCAGCATACCCTTCAGTGCATATGTATTGTCACTTGATTGCTAGAAAAGTGGAGTAAACCAACGTGTCCTTTCTCAAGCAGACTTGAGTTATTGTTCTCTCAGCAGGAAGCGGGATGATTCTGTCAGGTTTCACAGGGCACTATTTTGAAAGTAGAGTTGTTGATTTGAGGAACAGTGATAACATCATGCCCCCTGTGAATCCTGTTTTGGGCACCTGCCTGAAGTTGTGAATCAATCCAACATGCAGGCAAAGAGCTGAGTAGCTCTTTCCTATTGCTTCTCAGCTCTGTGATGAAGCTGCAGAAGGGATGAAGAGACAAATTGCTTAGTTGAGGGCATGGGGGGATTCCTGCCGTTAAGTAATTTAAACTGGAATCCAATGGGGAATTTTGGGGGTTACTCCAAAAAAATGTGTTGCGGGATCTTGAGTTGCCCATAGGATGGCTAGAGGCTTAGATGTATAGAAGTAGTTCCGTCAGTGCACTATCTCCAGACTTTGATTTAGCATTTAGTCAGAAAGGAAGGTTTCTGCTTGATGTAGCATTGCCTAGTCACTTGGAGCAGACCTTGTCAATTTCCTGCATGATGTTATTTTTCTTGTGGTCAGAATGGAAAGCTTGTATTGACATCACTCTGTTAGGAAATCACCTTCAGCCATCACTAAAACAGTCCCCTGAAACAGTAAGACATTGCTTGGACACCCCACCCCACCACGGATTCCAATAACTGGGTGGAGAAACCAGTTCAAACAGCTGCTTGCTTAGATGGTGAAGCTTTAGTGCTTTCTCTTCACGTGCTGCACCCCTGTTACAGCCTCATGCCAAGCCCCTGTGCTCCTGGGCTCAAGTGTTCTTCTCTTGGTATGAAACATGGGCATAAGATGTCCAAGAACAGTTTTGACTTCACCTTTATTCCCATTTGAGCTGCCATCGGTGGGAATAAGGTACTAATTTTTTGTGCTTTCAAAGCAGAAGTGTGCTTACTGACCTGGACACAGATTATTTCTTGTAAATTCAGAACTTAACAGTTGTGGACCATGCTTTTGCATGGGAAGACCATCTGGGCAGTCTTGTGCGCCTGCAGGCATAATGGGTCACTCTAGGAACATCAGAGCATGGAGAATGGAGTGAGGGAGTAATCCCGCCAGTCATCACTTGCTCAGTTGCAGGGTGGGCTGGCAGAAGGGTTAGAAATGCAATAATTTGTCTTACAATGGGGAAAACAGCTAACCATTTGAATTCAGACTGAGAAGTGTACTAATTCCCTACTGTTATTTTGTCCTAATCTCCTGATATTCCTGGGATGGTTTTTCTGATGGATTCCAGGTTGGATAGTGCTGGTGTCACCCTGGAGGAGTTTCCCAGAATCATTTTTATACTTTCTTCTCAAAAGGAAGCAGTTTATGTACAGTTTGCTCTTTCTCTAAAGCTATGCTGTAATGTCTTAGAGGCTTGTTCTGCTTAGCAGTGCTTGAATCTGCCCATGAGACATACCACAGCAAATCTATGCACTGTTTTCTGCAGGCCGTATCTGTTCAATTTGAGTTGTGAAAATGAATTAAAATTATTTTTTTCCTAAGTATAACATGATTTTTTTTTCCCTTTCACAGCAGACTACACTGAGCAACCAAAGCTCATGAAGCTTATGCAGACTTGTCTTGAGGAACACCACAGCTATTGTATAAATGGGCTCTGTGCTTTCCACAGCGAGTTGAGGAAACCCATATGCAAGTAAAGAATAAGTATCTTCTAAGTATCCTTCATAGAAAACGACAACAGTAGCATTGTTTCTTTGTCTGATACATGTTCCTAATGTAAGGTGACTGAATTTCAGCAGTTTCAAGTGCCAGTCAAGTATTTGCAGGCTTAGTTTGGCACATGATTGAGTGCTCTGGTAGCCCAGGACTGTTGACAAGGTAGTAGTGCTGTGCTGGTGTGATACTAAGGAAGGAAGAGGGAAAACTGACAGCTTTGTTGGTCACTGCTGTGATGGCAACTCAAACCACAACTGGTGCTAGAGTAAACAGTAAAGAAATAAGTAGATGTTCACAGTGGGCACAGCGAAGGGGGCAGGATCTTTCAAGATGTCAGCTGCATCTCCCTTTAACTGCTTACACACTGATAAGGATTGTGATGTCCTTAAAAGTTTCTGGGCAGCTTTGGCCTTTGGAGATCTTCTAGTAGCTAAGGATCAGCAGAGCACAGTGCTCTTCATCCACACCCTCTGCGATGAGGGTATGTTTAGACTGTGTTTGCTGCTGTGACTGCAGTCCTTGAGCTTGCTTTAAACTAGACAGACTGGGGCAACTGGTAGTCTTGATGCAATGAAGACGTGACAGAGCACCGGATTCAACCCATCCTCTTTCAGGCTTGTTCTAAATAGTTTAAGACTGATGAAAACTAACGTGTTTCTGCAATACAAAGCATGAGAAGTCCTGAATAATGTTTGCATGGTGTATATTTATTTTGTAGGTGCCTCGCAGGTTATAATGGTGAGAGGTGCGAACATTTAACACTAAATTCGTATGCACACAATTCTTACGAACGCTATATTGCTGTGGGAATTGGTGTGGGAATACTGACGAGTGGGATACTTGCTATCATCTACTGCTACGTAAGAAAGAGGTATGGGAGATATGCAATCTTCTCATCACATTCATCTGAGTTGTACTGGGCAGGAAGAAATGGCATGTGGAATTTTGAGGGCATGGGTAGTGTGTTCTTGCCTGTTGCTGATCTGTGGTGTGATCTTCAAGGAACTGACAGCCTACCTCTGTTTTCCATCTCCCAGTTGGGTCTAAAGTCATTTTCATTGGGGCTGCCTAAATGAGTTGGGTGACTGTGTCAGACACCTGATTCAGGTTCTCTTCACACTGCTGTGGTTTTAGGTTGGTCTGATTAACATCATGTGATGTTTGTTTTAGATGCAGAAAATTGAAATCCCCTTACAGTGTCTGCATGGGCGAGACAGCATTGTGAAGACATAGCATTGGGACACTTCCCAATTTGCCTGTAAAGGAGAGGAAGTCCTGCTGGGAAGGCCGCCATCTGCCATCTGGCAGATACCACAGCCTTGCTGATGGGAGGGCATGAAGGGAATGACAGGACAAGTACATGAAAGGAACTCCTGCAGGACTGATGGGCGCCATTCACATGTGAAGAAAGACTTCCTCCTTCGTAGAGGTTGCTAGATGACCAGGTCCAAAAAGCTAAGGATACTCACAGCCCTCAACGATCTCCTGTGGGTGGTATTTACTGAGGCGAGGACTTCCTGGTTTTAGCTGTTTTCAGTCATTTCAAGCTCTGGTACAGTGTTCTGCTCTTGCCTTTTCTGTTTGTTTGGTTTCTTGTTTGTTGGTGTTTTTTTTTTAGTCCCCTTCTTTTCTCCTCCTGTGGAGGAAAAGCACAATCCTTCTCACAGTGGAGATGGATTCTGAACCTCATATGCTGACAAGACACCGTTTGGGTTCTGATTTCAGTGTCTGCTGCCTATGTGTGTGGATAAACAGGCCCTTTTCCAACACAGCAGATACCTTTAGTGGGCTGAACAAAATTTAGGCTTCTGTTGCCACCAAGGACAGAACCATAAAATGCTTCGGACTGAGCAAAATGGATGGTTCTCAAAAGCTTACTTCAATTTAGGAATAAAGATTAAGCACTTTTGAGAAAATCGTGTCATGACACCTCTGGGCATGGCAAGTTCTTACTGTTTTCACAAGCAGAGGATTTGGGCATCCTTGTCAAAATGGATTATTGAGGGTGCTCATAGCAAAGAACTTTACTGTTTCCTAACATCATATAGCAGTTCATCACATCTTCAGGCAGAATATAACTTTGCTGCACGCTGATTTCAGCACAAGACTTCAGCTGGTAGAGAAGCTTTAATTTTGTTGTTTAATTTCAGTATGGCTTTGCCCAGGAAACAGACTCTCTTTCTTCTGTTCTCACACTATGGGCACAATGTGACCACTCAAATAAGAAACAAACGGGGATTTTCTTCAACCCTGGACAAAGATATTACCCATAAGATGCTTAATTTTCTGAGTCTTGTCTACGAAGAATTGCAAAGGTAACGAGATTTTTTTTTTGAGGACAAAGGAAGAAAATTGGTTCTGAGACTGGGACTGTTTGTGTCTTCTCACTGAGAGCTGGAGTTTTTGCCAAGTGCTGATGAAACTGGGAGATGGGTCTAAGAGATGTTCGTTTCAGCTGTTGCATATTGTAGATGCATCTGCTGTGCTTAGTCATCTGTTAGAAAAAGACAGGTACTTTGTGATTGTATGGGATGATACAGGCTCCTAAATTGAGATGCCCTGCTGGAATGCTCAATCTCTTTGTAACGTGAGTTAATTTTCACAACAGGATGCATGTCGCGTGTTAAAAAAACCCTGTGTATTTGTGAGACTACAATGATAATGCTGAAATGTGTATGAAAGGCTGGGGTTTGAAAAGCACTTGAGTGGCCTGAAGTTCAGTGGGCTGCTTATGAGGGGGATCTGGTCAGTAGCTGAGTCATCTTGGTTCTCCATTTGATACCAATAAATAAAACAACACATCACATGCTGCTTGATTGGAATCCCCATGCAATGGAGTGGAGCTAGTGCCATGTGCGTACACAAAAAGGATTGGTGAGGAACTGGATGGAGAGAGGCACCAGTCCTTTCCTGTATGCATTGACATGAGCCTTTTATAAGAGGCACTGAGCTGATTTTCCAGCTCTCGGCCTTTGCTTTCTTCATCTCCAGTTAAATCTTCAAATCTCTGTATTGTTTGCTCCTTTCCATTCTTCTGACCTTTTCTTAGTATCCAGTGAGACAACTTCTCTTGATTTGCAAGTCAGCTTTCAGTAGTTGCGCTAATGTTTTCTGTCATGTGTGGAGTGAGAGTGCAATTACAATCTGTGTATTCACACGCAGACATACGAAAAATCTCCTTCACCCCTTGCACACACTGGACAGAAATACCAACTAGACACATGCATGTCATCAGGAAAACACAGGCAATAGATGCTTTCTCATTATTCTTGGAGAAAATTTTAGAGCTAGATAGACCAAAGGATGAAAAGCCTCAAAGCTTTTGTCATGTGAGTGAATCTTTCTCCAGAGTGAGTTGTCTCTTCCTGCACGTTTGCAAGTGTTGCATATCGCTTCTAGAGGACGAACCCTTCTGCAGCACAGAGGCTGTGTCTTGGAGCAGGCACACACAATAACACAGCATGCTCAGGGTGTACATACGGTTGTTAAAGGAGTTTTAAAGGAAGGAGTTTGAGCTACTGGATTTTAACTTGTCCAGAGAAAGCTGCTGGGGAGAAATGGGTCTTAAAATCAGAGAGTAGTTTGGGTTGGAAGGGACCTTCAAAGGTCATCTAGTCCAATCCCCCTGGAAAGAGCAGGGATATCTTTAATTAGGTCAGGTTGCCCAGAACCAACTCCATCCTGGCCTTGAATGTATCCAGGGATTGTGCATCCACCACCTCTCTGGGCAACCTGGGCCAGTGTTTTATCACCCTCATTGTAAAGAAGTCTTGTGTGGTTGTAACCATTTGTGTGTTTTCTGACTGACTTTTTTAACACCTTTTACGTACCAGTGGCCAAGCAGGTGCCCTGTGTAGTATGCAAGTATTTCTTCAGAAGTATTTACCTATTGCAGTAAGACTACCTATAGAAACGCACACTGACTCAGTGGGTTTTAATGCCTGGTTAAATGTAACTGGAAAGGAAGGTGTATGCCAATGCAACAGTTTAGCAGGAGACTAAATAGTGAAATACTGGTTTTCTCTCTAGTTTGCTTTCTGGTCCAAGGCAGCTTTGGAAGGGCAGCCAGGGAAAGATTGCTGAGGTTTTTCTGCTAGTGGAAGCCAGAGAGGGACTTTTCATCAGGAAATATAGCAATAGGACAAGGGGTGATGGGTTTAAACTGAAACAGAGGAAGTGCAAGTTAGATATAAGGAAGAAGTTCTTTACTGTAAGGGTGGTGAGGCACTGGAACCAGATGGCCAAAGAACTGATAAAAGCTCCATCCCTGGCAGTGTTCATGGCCAGGTTGGACAGAGCCTTGGGTGACATGGTCTAGTGTGAGGTGTCCCTGCCCATGGCAGGGGGTTGGAACTTGATGATCTTAAGATAATTTCCAACCCTGACTATTCTGCAATTCCATGAAAAGCTCAGGAATGAAATACCAGATGAGCCTGTGCCATGGAAAATGAGATAAGGGCAGAATGAGAATGCAACAGAATGACAAAGATAGGAAGAAAAAAGGAGGTCTTTGCTTTATTTTAGTTTTCTTTTTCCAAGTGGCATTGAGGCTTCCAGAAAAGGGTTCCTCAGCACCACGGCTTCTTAGACAGCTGAGGCTGATGGCACTGACAGAGACAGCAGCTTTCTCCATCAGTTTGCAGTGTTCACAGGCTGCAGCCCATGTTGAGAAGAGTGTTGTCATTGCAGTTTTAAGGCATTTCTTCAGGCCCAAGCTGTGTTTGAGGCATCACTACAGGAATGAATCACACTGCTGCTAGGGGCAGTGACCTGGCTGAGGAAGTCTGCGTTGCCTCAGATCACTTTGTGGAGTCAGCCACTGCACCCTGCCTTGATAAGTGACAGATGCTACTGGGCTAGGATGGTGTGCTGCTGCTTACAGGGCTGAATTTCCTGCAGAACTGGCCTGTCAGAGGATCAGGATCATCTTTCCTGGCTCATTTATCAGGCTCAGACTCCTTCTGTAATGGCATAATTAACAGAGTCGTAAGCTTCTGCTTCCTGTTAGCTGCATGTGTCAAAAACTTGTCATTTCAAGAGGAGACCCTCTGTGTGACTTTTAGGCATTAGCTTGGTTGGGGCACCAGCTTGGCAGGGTGAAGGGAGAGAGATGTTCAAGACTGGAACCTGCCTTTCTGAAGGACAGAGTGCTTGCCCTGTGTATGATCCTGGCCAGTGGAACCACACTGCAGCTGCAGCCACCATGCAAGTGTACCTGGTTGCTAATGCTTGGCTGGGACTTGAATACCTCCCCTGGATTCAGCGCCCATTTTGGATTGAAGTGTGTGGGTGGCCTGCACTTTACCTGGTATCAGCAAGGTCTGTTTAAAAGGGCGACATGCAAGCCCGTGGAAGAGAATACTGTCCTTCCAAAACACTGCTTTTAATGTTGGAAGGAAGTGCAAGGAAGTGTGTTGATGGCTAATATTTGAATTACATGGTGTCCTTGTCCTGCCTGTCTTGACAGGGTGCACAGTTGGTTAACAGTGCCCATGGTCACAAATGGCTGATTCAGCAACCTGAGTTGCAAGGGCATGGGACCAGCTAGTCTGATAGCCAACCAGCCACTGCAGAAGTGTCAGAGACTCTCGGAGAAGGTCTTAGAGGCCTGGTGGCAGGCAGGTAGGTAGGAGAGGGTTTTCCTTCAGAGCTTTTCTCTTATTCTTTACAACCAAGAGTATGTTTTGCATAAGAATGCAGCAGGGTTTCTGGTCCTTCCCGTGTGCTGTGGCAGCCCACCTTAATTTGGTGCACAGTAAAAAGAAAAGAACTGATTGGTACCTGAGTGCCTTGCATATGGTCTGAGTGGAAGTACTGGGTTGTGTCCAAAGAAACGGTTGTGAAACTGGTTATGTGCAAGTGCGTCTGGGCTTTAAGCAAAAAAACACCAACCAACCCACCAAAACAACAGAAAAAGCAGACACACACACCCCTGCCCAAAACATATGGCCTGCAGCAAAATTGTATGGCTTTGACAGCATTTACACCTATTAAATAAGACAATTTGCTGTTGCAGATAAGTAACTTGAATCATAGAGTCGTAGAATGATTTGGGTTGGAGAGGACCTTAAGATCATCCAGTTCCACCCCCCTGCCATGGCCAGGGACACCTCACACTAGACCATGTCACCCAAGGCTCTGTCCAACCTGGCCTTGAACACTGCCAGGGATGGAGCATGTACTAGTTCTTTGGACAACCTGTTCCAGTGCGTCACCACCCTCACAGTAAGGAACTTCTTCCTTAGATCTAACCTGAAGGCTACATTCAATCCCCTCCAGCCTGTTACAGGTAGGGACTTTGATAGCCCTGCTTGTTTCGGTAGCTCCTGGCATGGAATGAAACAGCTTCATGGCAGTGTAGCAACTGAATCCAGCCTCCAGAAACAGGAGCATAAAAAATGAAAAGGGGAAACGCTCTGGTTATTGCTTGTGTTTCAGGGTGTCACTTTGGTGGCCCAAAGGTAACGGCGAGTAACTTGACCTGCCGACAGCTTGCACAGCTCAGTGCTCTGATGGCATCAGCAGTGATGTGTGGCTGCTCGTACATCTTCTATCATTAGCCTTGCTCCAAAGAGGGAAATGCCTGTAGAGGTCCCTGTTGTTCTATAAATGCAGGAAACCATCTGGGACTCTGTCTTTATGACCCAGTTAACAAACAACCGGAAAAAAAAGTGCAGGTACTCATTAAAAGCTCAGTGTAAGTAGTCGTTAATTATCATGACAGCAATAAAATCTTGTACTATGACTTAACTTTGGGCTGCTCTGACTCTCGCTGAATGGAGCGAGAGCAGGCTGTGTCAGAAGCAGCTCTTGGTGAACTGCAGGAGGTGTCACAGCACAGCTGTCACCAGTGCCTTGTGCAGAAGAGGGAGATGTTTGTTGTGCTGTGGCTGGGAGCCCTGTTAGGGCAGGGCCCTTGCGCTGGTTGCTGGGCAGAGGAAGTTCAGGCTAGATCTAAGGAAGAAGTTCAGTACTGTGAGGGTGGAGAGGCCCTGACACAGGTTGCGCAAAGAAGTGGTGAATGCTTCATCCCTGTCAGTGTTCAGGTTGGACAGAGCCTTGGGTGACATGGTCTAGTGTGAGGCGTCCCTGCCCATGGCAGGGGGTTGGAGCTGGATGATCTTAAGGTCCTTTCCAACCCAAACCATTTGGTGATTCTAAGAGCACACTCTCATGTGGCTGCTAGGGTTAAAACCTGAGGCTGTTGTCTCAGTTGTGGCTGAGACTCTGTATGTTATCCCACTACCAGGCTGACCCTAAATGGGAGCTTAGGTAACTGCAGGAAACAAGGTGGATGCCTGTCTCCTGAGAGGCCAGTTGAAATGGTACAAGAGGAAATAGAGGCATAGCAAAGGTCAAGTTGCTTTGTCTAAGTTGAGTGAAGCTAAGCATTAGTGGAGCCCCCCCAGCTTTTAGTCTACCCATCTGGGATCTGGGTGAGTGCTTCTGTCCTGTTTGCAGACCAACTTTTGCCTTTAAGGGAAGCAGAAGAGGGCTAAGGCCTGGGAAGAGCCAAGGTGCTGTTTGATGGGTTTAGAGGGCATCTTGTTGTTGAGGATAGAATTGGTAGCACCAAAGTCTAAATCTTTTTATCCACCTTGCTGGGGCTTCAAACTGATAAATGTTTACATGGAAAAGGAAGACAAAATGTAAGCAGTAAATGACACACAAAAATAAGTGCAATGTTCGGAAGACTTCTGTCAGGGAGATTTCCCTGTAACTGATTTTTAAGGATTAGTCATGGTCCATGTCCTGCTGTCAAGTCCACGTGGAAGCAGCAGTTCACGTCACATGGCTGTTGTAT